GGGACTTGTATCATTCTTTCATTTCAGGGCTCTTTAGGAAAGAAATAGGGCTGTTGGGTGAATAAATGTATATTAATATCGGTTCCGCTCATATAAGTAGGTCTGATCTAGGAGTTGTCCATAACGTTTTCAATTCCAGTAATCATGGTCTAATAAGTTTAGGTCCATATAACGAAAGAGAGCTGCTCTTATTTATAACTCAAAATCTGTTCATAAACGAACACACACACACACATATATATATGGCTAGGTGTCAATTGTGGCAACTATAGAGTTTTGAATATTGAAAAATGGACACAAAATCATCCGATCGAGGCCAAGCGACGCCAAAGTCAGGTCAGGCCTCTTGTCTTGTAGTATTTATTATCAATATTTATAGCCAAGAAATCCAGCACTGAAATAATTTAGGACAAATTCAATAGCCACATTCAACATCATTTTGTAAAATACAATCGTGACGAACGTTCAGGAATTTGATTGGAGTATAAATATTTGTATTTTGAATTAATTTAAGACCGAGCAAGGCTGCACAGGGTAAATTCTGTCATAATTTTTTATACTTTGGCCACGTTTGGCTTGCATTGATTCTCATAAAAGAATGACATGAGATTAAGATCGTATAAATTCATTGGCTATGATTAACCGGGAAAGTCATCTTATTTTTCAGAAGTAGAACATTAATTAATTGCCATTTGTTTTTACTTAGTATAATCAATAGCTGAAAATTTCGTCTTAGAAGATATTTGTTGAACTATACACTGCAAAAGACGTCAAAAAAAAAAAAAATCATGTTAATTGCATCTCATATATAGGCGTTTTCCGTGCAGAGATAGGTAGTTAGAATATAAAAGCTAGAGGACGGGGTCTATCAAGATAGGAAGAAATAATAAAAGATCTTTAGGGAGATGGATGCATGTCACTATGACAGAGTGAAGACAACTTCCTCCGTTGTTAACTTAGTTTGACTTGTTTTGGCTGCGAATTTGAATCCCCCATGTAATAATAAAATAAGTTCCATATATATCTATAATCAAATCCTTCAACTGACGTTGGCCATGATAATAATAATAATAATATATTGCGGCAATAAAAGGGTTGCGTCTTTGTCAAATTCAACTAGGGAAACAAAAAAATAATATACGAATTATTCATGAATACAAGCAGTCTTATTTCATGTAATATAAATTATTTATTATCCTCAAAACCTATACTTACCGTCAATAAATTATTTTCATGGAAGAATTCGCCATGAATGTCATTTGTGGTGTCCACAGTTGGGCCAGAGGTAATTCTCCTTCCAGCCCGTAGTAGAGTAAAATTGAAGATTCGCCATTTAGTTTCCTATTGGTCATGCTCTTTAATGGACCTGAGACCCATAATCAAAATATGTGGTTTGGGCTCCAAATCTGATGCTCCTCTTTCGCAATCAAACACTTTTTTTTTTTTTTTTCATGTGTTCGGAGAGGAGGGTGTTTGGGGTTTTCAAGACCAGCTAATCATGTGGTAATGTTGCAACATCAATTTCTCGCTCACGTTAATATCCAGTTAAGGTTAGACTGAGATTTAAGCTTGGTCTAAATATAGAATTGTTTGCACTACACAGTATGAGAATCCACCCAAATAATACACTAACGATCCAGCTTGAGCAGATTTTAATAATCAAGCCAACTCCTCGACACTGTGGCTACTTATAATAAAGGAATAATTATAATAAAAATCCTTTAAAAAAATTATTATCTAAAAAATTTATCAACTTATTTTTAAATCTCTCAAATCCAATATATATATATATATACACCAAAATACTCAATACTTAACCTTCAACTTAACATTAGTTACTTATTGGCTATTTTGGTAAGAAAGAAATTGTTTTGAGTTTAAGAGATTTAAAAATAAATTGATAGGTTTTTTTGGATTTAAATTTTTTTTAAAGGGTTTTCTATTAATTATCTAATAATAATCTCATTTTAGAGTTTTTAATGAGTTTGATACTGATTTTTTTTTTTTTTTATCATGATTAAGTTCAAGTTTTTCTGATTACAGTTGAAAGGAAAAAGAAAAAAAGTTTCATAAGGTTCTTTTACTATTAACATACTAACTTTTGGCTATTATTTTTTTAGTATGCTTAAAAAAAAGTTATGTAAGAATTTTTATTTATCTCGGTCCACATTCTGTATAATCAAATAAAGACTTTGTTTTACTATCTAATAGCAATAAGAACTAATGCAATTCAACTAATTAATGTTACTAAAAATAAACTCTTGTTAGTCTCTTGTAATTTTATCCAAAAAATACCACACAAATAAAAAAAATCAAGAATATATATGACTACGTACATTCGTAATCTCCTATTTTTTAATATATTAATAAAAAAATCAATAGTAGCATCGGTTTTTAATTAAAAGAAACTTAGCATTTTTATCAAGTAATTAAATTAAATTACGTAGTGAAAGTATAATATATTTTGATGTATTAAATAAATAAAATATAAACATCTAAAATAGAAATACATATTTTGAAAAATAATAGTTTAATTTAAATCAGAGATAATTACAAGAAAACATCCTCTAAAAAATTATATTCAAAAAATCCATCAACATATTGAGTGAAGAGGTTAAATATTGAGTGTTTTGATAAGAAAAATATTTTTTTTGGATTTAAAAATTTTAAAAATAAATTAATGAATTTTTTAGATAAAAATTTATTAAATTTTTTTTCTAGTAATTATTCCCATGATAAATCGGAGCATTTAACTGAATGCGATTTGAAAGGCTAATGAAAAAAAGAAGCAATTTTTTTTTTTAATTACGATACACAAACATTAATTTACCCGGGATGAAAAAAATAATAATAATAATAAAGAATGAAGGGAAACAGTGTCTTGTGCGAATGCGTAAAATATTATATTTGCAAACTTCCAAATTTCCAATCATACTCTTTGTTTTAACAAGTCCTCGTATAGTAGATGAATTAAATAAAGTTAGTCCAATACTAATGTCGTTGGGTCAAATCAAATGATGAAACATGCTTATGTAGTGCTGTACTTCTGTCCATTAACTAAAAAAACAAACAAAAAAATAACATTACTATTTGAAATACTGTTTACGTTCTCATAATTTTTTATTCACCTTCTCACATTTTATTGTGCATTTTATTATTTATGATTTTTTTTACACTTTGATCTCTGATATTTTTTAAAGCATATTTCGATTCACATGTTCATTTGTTCATTCATTTTGGTCATTGGGTAGAGATAGATATGAGAGGAAGAGAGAGACAAGAGAAGAAAGAAATCGTCGGCCAATCTTATTTAGGCCACTCGATTGGCGAAAATTCATTAGATTTATTTATCTTTAAGAGATGAGTTTGTCCATTGTGGTTTCAAGCCATTAAACAATTAGAGGAGGTAGATCGGAGCAAAAAAAAAAAAACAAATCCGATTTGATTTTGTATTTTTCTTTATTTTTATGTGTATTAAAATAATTTTTAAGGTTTTAGATGTATTTATTGACTTTATTCCAGTCATTTAGAGGTGTTAGGAAAAAAATAATGCCAAAATTCAATTTTTAGAGATTTGAAAGTTGATAATCGAGTTTTTCGACGAACTTCCGACAATCTTTAGTTTGTTGGAAGTTGCAGATTTTTTTTTCGATCAGGCAAGCCTGCACCACGGGCCAGCAATGGCAAGCCCAAGCGCGCTGACTTTCCTGCACAGGCCAACCACGCTGGCCTCCCTCAATTAATTTTTTTTTTTAAAAAAAAACTATGTGTATCCTGGTTGCATAAGCCAACCAGGCACCTGTCCTAATTGGGTTGCAACCAGGCGCTTCTCTCCTCCTATATATATGTATATATAATACAATAATTTTTTTTTACCTTTTACATGAGTTAACGAATACATACAATAATTTTTTTTCACTTTTTAAATGATTTTTTAATTTTTTTATATATATATATATATATATATATATATATATATATATATATAGAGAGAGAGAGAGAGAGAGAGAGAGAGAGAGAGAGAGAGAGAGAGAGTATATCTAATTATATTAATTTTATTGTGATTTAGCCTATTTGTTTTAATTTGTTTTATTATTTTTATTATTTTAAATCTATAATTTTAATTTGTCATTTTTTTTCAAATTCTTATCCAATTAATTTTAAATTACATTTAATGATAGTTTTCATTTATTTTAATATTATTCATTCTTTTTTTATCCAAGTTAATTTAAAATTATATGGTCCTCAATTTTTTTATACAATATATTTTTTTTAATTTCAAACTTTAATTGTATTGTAATTTGATCCCATTTTGTTTTAGTGTTTTTTTATTATTTTTATTATTTATAATTTACTACTTTAATTTGTCATTTTAAAAAAATTCTCATCCATTTAATTTCAAATTACATTAAAATATTTAAAATATTTTTTCACCTTTGATTTTATATATTTTTATACATTCACATCATAAAACACACTTATCAAATTAAAATAATTTTTTAAAATAATTTTATAAATTTTATCCTATTTGAAGCATGACGCTGCTAAAAAATCTAGTTTATCTTAAAGGAAAACACAACACACCCCACAGAGACGCAATCAAGGCAGAATCCGGGTAACACTAACAACATCACATTATTTTCTTTTCATCATCGTCCTTAGCGTGTGCTTTTATGCCGGTCAACCGTCTTGTTTTGTTCTGGTTCCCCCGTGTGTGTGTATATGTATACATTTTGGATTAGAGATTATCGTGGGATTTAACAAAAACAGAGAAAAGCTTGCATATTATTTTCTTCGTTGACTTCAGAAGAATGAGAAATTATATTGCATGTTTAAAATCTATATATAATCGTTAAAGTGTCCAACTTTTTTCGTATGGAGATTGTTCCACAGTAAAGAGAGTAATATAATTACAACAACAAATAGCACATACAGATATGGATTAACTCTTCAAAGTTGTTTGATGTTTTTTTTTTTTACCACCATACAGATGAATGTTTTTATCTTTTAGCAGTAAGAGGGTTGAAGTAAACCACAAGAAGACATAAAAGTGGATGAGCCATGCCCATGGACATGCCTGATCCAGCTTCCACGTTAACCTTGGCCTCAGCTACCTGTCCCTTAACCTCCCAATCAAAACATTGAACCATGGCTGCAATTACAGTATAAATCAAGTTGTAAGCCACCATCGTCCCTGGACAGCCTTTTCTTCCTCCCCCAAAAGGAACAAAACCAAAATTTTGTACCGTACTTTCACATTGGTCACGATCCATATTGTCTAGTTCCTTAGAGGATCCCAGGAATCTTTCTGGATAGAACTCATTTGGTCTATCCCATGCATCTGGATCCCTCATTATGGCAAATAGACTAATTGCTACTGCAGTTTTTTCTGGTATATCAAATCCTTTGATTTTACAACTTTTCCTGCATTCTCTAGTTGTCACAGGGGAAGGTGGGTGCAACCTTAGTGTTTCCTTGACAACTGCTTGCAAATAGGGAAGACTTGAAATATCTGATTCTTCAACAAATCTGGCTTTTCCAACCACGGATTCTATTTCTTCTCTAACCTTTTTGAAGATGCTGGGATGGTTGATTAGCTCAGCTATTGCCCATTGTATAGCTTTTGCTGAGGTTTCTGTCCCTGCGATGAAGAGGTCCTGTTTTAAGACCCAGAAGTACAATTAGAGACCCGAGAGAAAAGGAGTCCTGATATACTTGTTAAAAAGAAAACAAGTTCTGTTAACTCTTCTGACCAGTTCTTGTCATCGGAAAATCAATTACATTAGGCATATCTTTTTCGGGAGACATATGTTTTCACCACTAAAGCATCAAACTCCCACTTTCTCATGACATAAATTTTCTTTTTTATAAGAAGTAATTTTCTCTCTGTTTAAAAGACAAAAATACAAATACCTTTTCAGGACCAAAGTATCAGAGTCTTATTTCTATCCATTACTGCAATCATCCTCGTATAAGGTAATGAAAAAATCTCACTGGAATAACAAAGTAAACTAAGTTAGAACCAAGATGAGCCTAATGCGATCAGATCATGCTAAATTTTTTGCTGCAGTTGTTAAATCATAGGAATCTACTACTGTAAGAGCATTTTGTTTAAAAATTTTCTGGTTAATAATAAATGAACATGATCAATGTTGATGAAATGGAACATTTGAACTATAAATCTGATGTTTTAATTTGTATGCTTAGTTTGGGAGGAGATTGATCTTTTTTGTAGGAATGTGCATTAAATTTCTAGTTATGAGTTAGATTTTGCATGAAATTCCTATTGCTACGAGTCTTTCTTCAATTTCTACATATGTATCTAAAATGAACCTAGACATTTATTATTTGGTAAACAAAAATAAAATAGAATAAGAAAAGGAGTGGGGGAAATACCAGCAAAAAAGCCTTGATTTGTGTCTTGGTAATCTTGACCTCGACCTTTTCATCCTGATACACATGTAAAAGAACATCTACCAAATCCACTTGCTCATTCTTCCATGCCTCTCTGCTTCCGCTGTTTTCATGCTCTTTCAGAATTCTTTCAAACAATTCATCATATCTGTTGGTCAAGTTCATAGCCTGTTTTCCATATAGCCAAAATCCCAAAGATTTCAAAGGACCCAAAACTTCCCCAAAACACAACTTTGCAGCCAATTCAAATGACTCCTTCACAAGCTCCCTACACTTCTCAGCCTCTCCATCTTCCTCTGAACACGTTGTGCTCATCACCATCCTGCACCAACACCTAACGTTTTCATTAATAGAGGGCATCAAAAAGACTTCAGTACAGCTAATTATATATATATATATATATATATATAAGGCTAAATAAATTGAACTTCGAAAAATTTTGTTGTAGGGTTGGCCTAACGGTTAAGGGCTTGAACGGGCTGTGTAGAATTTCTATGGAGATTCTCTTAACAGGAGAAAATAATTAACCTGCACGTAACATTGTTTGTAAGCTTGGCTAACTCGGCACCCAAATCAACAACCTCATTTTGGCTAGCTTTCTCCAACAATTTATTCATGAACCGCAAGATCTCTTGACTTCTAACTCCAGAGGACCTTTCAAGCTGCCGTGGTCCGAGCAGTTCAGTCACGCAAAGTTTCTTCATGAACTTCCAGTAATCACCATAAGGTGCAGTGATAAACCCCGAGGTTCCATAAGGTAACTTATCGCAAAAGCAAATAATGGGCGAGACGAAAAGGCAAGATCATTAATCTTGAATATCTCTGTTACCATGGATGTTGATGATACAAGAAGACAACGAGAAGAGCCCAATCGGAGATAGAGGAGAGGGCCATATTTGGAGGAGAGATCGTAGAAACATTTGTACAAGGCAGGAGTGAGGAGGTGGAGGTGACCAATAAGAGGAAGAGCTGGTGGGCTTGGAGGGAGGTTGAGTTTGGTATTGGTGGTTGCATTGGTTAGTTTCTTGAAGATCATGAACTGAAGAGGAATGGTTAAGATTATGCAGAAGAGCAAGAAAATGTAATTATTCATGTCAATAATCGAGGCCATTGATAGATAAAATTTAATAGCTAACAGTCGATCAATGGCATTCTGTAAGACCAACGGACAAAAATTTAATGATGGCATTTCTATATGTATATATATCCACATAAGCATGCGTTTGGGTAGATGGAAGAATAAAAGATAAAATATTTTCTTGACATGTTGCCGTTAGACTTATTTGGGAACCTATATTTGTTATATTTGATATTATATTTTATGGGATGAAGAAATGTACTGTATAAAAATTATAAAACTTCTTATATGCAGATTTATAAAATCATGGTAAAAGTAGTCGGATTATTATATATTTAAGGTGACGTACAATATATTATTAATCTGTAACTGTAAATAAATTTTACAAATATCGCATATTGTTTTAAAGAATGACTTGATTCCTATTTTAATTTAGTCATCTTCACCTTATTTAATTAAACTAATATTGACAGTTAAATTATTTTTATATTAAAAACTACAATAACATACTTTTAATTCCTTATTTTCATAACAATTAAAGTAAAAAGTTTCAATTTTTTATCCATGTTAGTTTACAATAAATTTATACCTATTTTATTTTTATGAACCACTAGGCATGTGATTTTTAGTACAAACTAAGCTAAACTGGTAACTTGACATAATTAGGTTTTTTTTAAAATATTATTTATTCGCAGCCTTGAATTCTTAGGTTAGTTTTTGTATAATCAAAACTAAGTTTACTATTTTATGAGCTAAATCGACATCAAATCATGTCTAATTTTTTAAATTTATCGGCAATCTATATTTAGTATTAAGTTAATGTTACATAACATTTAATAAAAAATACGATTTGAAAAATCATATTTTTTAAACTTATCAACATATCATGTTTAATATCACAAAAAATAGTTTTTTAAAGTCAGAATCAAACATCTTACCTAACGAATAAATAATATATATATATATATATTTTTTTATCATTTTACCTACCATTTTCGATGCTGATGTTAGTTTCAAGTTATGAAGAAATACAGTGAACGTTTTTTTTCAAAAAAAAATCATAGTCAAGCCAACCTTGCATAATTTTATTACACATGATGTGTTTCCACAATTTTCCAATGAAATCTTCACACGCTAATGAGAGTTACCAAAACACGTGGATTGTGATAATCATTAATTTTAGTAAGCAAATTGAATTAAATCCCACTTACATATGATTGATTGAATAAACTTAATTCAGGAGCATTCTTAATAAATCCAAACGGGCATTGCCAATTAAGCCAAATATCACATGTAGGTGAAGAGTGCAAGATTAGGCATTGAATGGCAATGAAGTTATAGTATTTTGGGCTAAAATGAACTTGAAAATACGCTTGGCAGCCTTTAGTAGAAAAAAATGTCACCTGTGTTTCTTTTCAGCCTATATATACATTGGACCGACTTGTATTTGATACCACCCCTACACTATTTTTTAAACCAAACTAAACTAAGTTTGGTATCACTAAAAAAATATAATTAGTTATAAGTAAATAATCAGAATTGAACATTTATTTTGATCAAATGAAAACAATTTTCTTATCGTCAAATTGCATCTTTTTACCTTAAAATGATTATTTGAAGTATAATAAGAAGATAGATAACAAAGAAGTAGCATTATTATAGAAAACTTTAAAAAGGTGGGGTTGTAATTATTCACAACCCTGTTTATCTTTTTTTTTTTTTTTGTCTCGACACTGTTCACTTTCTTTTGTTGTTCCAAGTTTTTTTTTTTCCAAGAATTTAGGTTTTTTAATTTAATTTTTTTATTTTCAGATTGTTTTATTTTGGTTTCTAAAATTTTAAAACATAAATTTTTAATCCATGCATTACTCACGCCTTTTTTTTTCCTTGCTTTTTTTTTTTTTTATCAATTTATGTTCTTTTTTTATTTAATTAGGTGTTAAAGTTTTTTTAAAAATTAGTCTTTAATTTTTTCTACACAAACCGATGATTGTATAATATATGCGATATTTTTTTACATTTATACGATATGTTTTTAAATTTTATTACGATATTTTTTTTCAAGTTGTTCCACTATACATGCCTTTTGTTTCATTTGTTTTTTCCATCAATTTAGGTTTTTTTTTAATTTAATTTTTTTTATTTTCAAGTTGTTTCATTTTAGTTTCTAAAATTTTAAAATCAAAATTTTAATCCCCTAACCGATGTACTACTCATGCCTTTTTTCTTTTTTTCCTTTTTTCCTTTTTTTTTTGTCCATCAATTTATATTTTTTTATTTAATTAGGTGTTAAAATTTTAAAAAATTAATCGTTATTTTTTTCCACACAAACCGACGATTATATAACACTACTCATGCCTTTTTTTCTTTTCTTTTTTTTTTCATCAATTTATGTTCTTTTTTTTATTTAATTAGATGTTAAAATTTTAAAAAAGCAATCGTTATTTTTTTCCACACAAACCGATGATTATATAATATATACGATATTTTTTGCATTTATGCGATATGTTTTTAGATTTTAGAATAAATATAAACTACTTTTCTTGTTTAAAATTGATTTTTTAGATAAAAATTCTCATCAAGTTAAATTTTATTCTTATTTTTTTATAATTTTATTTATTAATAAATATGACTTATTTTCTCTATGTATAGAATCAAATAAGTTTTTTCGAAATCAGCTTTTATAATTTTTACCGCACTCTATTAATTTCAATATATATTTTATCATTTATTTTTTAAAAATATTTTTCAGTTTATTTTATACATTCTCATCTATTGAGTACGATCATGATGTATCAAAAATAATAACATTAGAGTCATTGATTTTATTAGAAATCAACTATGCATCTACACATACAATACCAACTATTTGCTATTGACTTCAATATATATTTTACTATTTATTTTTTAAAAATATTTTTCAGTTTATTTTATATATTCTCATCTATTAACTATGGTCATAATGTATCAAAAATAACAACATTAGAGTAATTGATTTTATTAGAAATCAATTATGCATCTATACATACAATACTAACTATTTGCTATTGTTTTTTTAATATTTCAAATGATTTTTCTAAATAAAATAATTGAAATAAGATTTTAGAATAACCACCTAATAATTCAAATAGAATTTTTTATAATAATATTATTCATTATTTTGTAAATAAATATACATAAATCAAATATATGTATTTTAAAAAATAATCTTCTTATCCGTAAAAGGTTTCATTTGTTAATTTTCATACAAGTTTTTATATTAATTGTTACTTTATTTCTTCGATGCAATATAATGAAAAAACTTAAGATTTTTTAAAGAAAATTTTATATTAAAATTTGTTTATTATGGGTTTTATTTAAGAATAAATGTAGAAGAAAGAACAAATCATATTTTTTTTTACTTTAAAATTTATTCAAAACACACATATACACACACAAAATTTTGATTAAAAATTATAAATTAGATGAAATTTTATCTTTTATATTTAATTTAATATATTTTAATTAACTGATAACATAGTATATGTTATTCAACTAAAATAAATATATTTAGCTCGGTCCGCAGCATGACGCGAGAATCCGAACTATTCATATATCTAAAATTTTTATTCACTTACTATTCATATGCGTAAAATTACTATTCACTCGATGACCATAAGTACTTTTTGTGTGTCGTTTTTTTGTGTGTTTTTGGGCATTAATATACAAATTTAATATATATTTTTTAATTTTTGGTCCCTCGTATTTTAACATTTTTTCTATCTTTTTGTATTTTAAAATTAACATATACTTCGATTATATTACTTTTATCATTTAAATTTCATTATTTGAATTTATCATTTTTTTATGAAATACTCATCTAATTAATATTTTTTATATAAGATTTTATTTATTGATAAATATAATTTATTTTTCTCTATGTTTGAATTTTAGAATAAAATTTTAAAACATGATTTTTTTCTTTTTAAAAAAATAAATTGGTATAATATATATCATGTATTTTAGAATTTTTAAATGATAGTTGCACATATATAAATGTATATATTATTTTATTCTAAAAGGTTAAAAGTGTATTTCAAATAATTTGTTTTAGTTCACTATATATAATCAAGACATACAAAAAAAAAAAAAAACTATTGAATCATTGATTTTTTAAAAAATTAACTATACATCTTCCAACATAATACAAATTATTTGCTATGAATATTGTTTTTTAACATTATAGAATCAATTTATTTGAAATAAAATAATTAAAATAATTTTTTAAAGAAACCAACTAATTATTCAAATATAGTTTTTTTTTATGCTAATATTGTTGATTATTTTGTAAATAAATATATATAGATCTAATGCATATACTTGAAAAAAAAATCTTCTCACCAACATTAAATAAGAATAAGTTTTTATTTTTTTCATAGGTTAATGTTTAGGCAAGTATATACATTAATTGTAATTTTATTTTTTTTGGACACGTTCTTATAAAAAATATATAATTTTAAAGTATTTGCTTTTGAATTCTTAATTGGTATTTCGAGTTTAAATTGTTATAAGTTTTTATTTAAGATCTCTAAATAAAAAAAATAAATCATGTTTTTTTAAGTATAAATTTTATGAAAAACACAAAGCAAAATATGTGTGTGTGTGTGTGTGTGTGTAGTAATAATTAAATAAAAAATAATGAAAAAATTTAAATGATTTTGTTCTATCTCACTTCGTAGCATTGCGTTGATAATTTTAAAAATTAATCTTTTCATTAGCATTAAATAAGAAAGTTTTTTTCATTTGTTAAATTTTGTAGAAACCTTTCCATTAATTATAACTTTATTTTTTGGAATACAATATTATAAAAATTATATTTTTAATTTTTTTTAATTGTTGATTAACATTTTAGTTAAAAGTATTATATTTTTAATTTTAAAATCAATCCATAAAGAATAATGATTTTTCTTTTAACAAAAAATTTATAAAAAAATAAAAATTATAATTAAATAATTTTAAATTTTAAATTTTAAAATGATTTTTTTTACTAGACTTGCGAGTATAGTGCAGAGAAGCGACTAGTACATATACTAAAAGAGAATATGATTTTTATTCTAGTTAAATTACTTCTACAGTTGACCAAATGACATTGTTTTATGTCATTTTAAATTAAAATGATGTCTTTTTACCAAAAAAAAAAAAAAAAAAGGAATTTTTTAGACTTTTTGTCCACTTTGCTCCTTAGAGTTTTAATATTGTACGAAACGATCTACAAACTTAATTTATAAGGTTCCTGTGATTTTTTAATAGTTGGGTTGTGTTTCCAACCCAGGCGCACGGGCCTGAGCGTCTGTACGCCCATCCAAAAGGGCCTGGTGTGCTCTCCAACCTAACCTTTTTTTATGCTTTTATTTTTTTCATTATTTGCTGAAAATATTTTTTTTCTCAATAATTAATAGTTATTTTTTTTATAAAATCATTAACTAAAATCACACATTCTTCTAATATAAATTGATGTAGTATTCTCTTCTAATTCAATTTTTAAATAAAGAAATAAATAAAAAATAATATAAATTGATGTAGTATTCTCTTCTAATTCAATTTTTAAATAAAGAAATAAATAATTGTAATTTTTTATTGATCAAAATCAAACATATTCCTAGGATATATTTAAATTAAATTATCAAATATAAACATTTTATTAAATATTAAATAATACATATCAAATTAAAAAAATTCCTATAATTCCTATTAATTAATTATTATTTTACATTAAATTATTTAAAGTATTAAAACATATTATATAGATTTATCTCACGCAATGTGCAGACACTATACCAGCTACTGTGCCAAAACTAATATCAAAAGTTCTCTGCCATTGCCCTGCTGGGCTACTTTTGAGATTCAACTCCGTTGCTTTGCCAAAACTATCAGGCATCTCTCTTGACTGGATCCACCACAAACAACTTTACTTTTTATTGAACAAATCGATACAACTTGCACTGATTAGTTAACAGTCCAACTTTTGTGTTTAGTCAATCACATTGGAATATTCAAATGCTACCAATGGACATTTATTTATAGTAGTTATGTTCAGAAGATATCAGCAATCTATGAATAATTTTCTTCCATTTTGCACGAAATGATAAATATATAAGGATTGCCAAAAACGATGGACATGGTATATTTTATTTATAAGGCAGACTTGCAATCAACAGAACTGAAGTGACAACATTGGAAGCACAAACACGTAATTAACTTGAGTCATCCTTAATTTGTTGTCTAATTATCTTTAACTGGAGTATCAAATGGGTTGAAATGAACCTGGGGAAGACACAAAAGTGGATGAGCCATGCTCATAGTCACTCCTGACGTGACTTCCATGTTAACCTTTGCCACATCTCCATTTCCATCAACCTTCCAATCAAAGCATTGAACCATAGCAGCAACAGTAGCATTAATCAAACTGAAGGCCAAGTTTACACCAGGGCACTTTCTCCTCCCCCCACCAAAGGACCAAAAATTGAAGTCTTGTCCTTTTCTTCCCATTTTGTCATCAGCCTCTTCTTCGGAGGAGACCAACAAGAACCTCTCAGGATAGAACTCATCAGGATTATCCCATACTTCTGGATCCCTCATCACGGAATGCGCATTGACTACTGCCAGAGTTTCTTTTGGAACATCAAATCCTGCAAATTTACAGTCTTCGCGGCTTAATCTAGTAATTATAGGAGCTGGTGGGTGTAGTCTAAGTGTTTCTTTCACAACAGCGTGCAAATAATGGAGGCTTTGGATGTCTGAATCTTCCAACAACAGACTCTATCTCCTCTCTAAGATTCTTGAACACATCAGGATGATTGATCAGCTCTGCCATTAACCATTGCATCGAATGTGCTGTGGTACTAGTGCCTCCAAAGAAGAGATCCTGACACAAGGGAGCAGAGCAATTTTTAGACAGAATTCAATTTATTTCTATTTCAGAGAGAGGATAAAAGAGAGAAATTGATGGTACCAGAAAGAAGGATTTCATTTGAACCCTGCTTATCTTAACCTCTGCATTTTTATCATGATATACTTCCAAGACAATATCCATCAAATCTTTATCTTCTCTGTCACCACCATCTCTTCTTGCTCTCTCTTCATGCTCTTCCAAGATCCTCTCCAACAACTCATCAAACCTTCTTGGTACATCCAAGAGCTGCTTCCGAAAGCAGAAAATACCTATTTTTCTTGAAGGGCCTAAAAGATTTGCTAAAGTCATCTTAGCCACTAGCTGAAAGGATTCTCGCACCAGATCTACACACTTTTCAACATCATTATCTTGACCTGAACACCTTGCACTCATCACCATCCTTTATGTAATATTATTTGTTAGTGTCATTATCTCTTTACTCACATCTGCAACCTCATTTTTTTTAGCCTTCTCTAACACTTTTCTCAGAAACCGAACAAGTTCTTCACGTCTAACGCTCCGCGACCTTTCTAGCTGGCGTGCTCCAAGCAATTCGGTTAGACAAAGTTTCTTCATGAATCTCCAGTAATCTCCATACGGGGCATGAAAAAAACTCGAGTTTCCAAATAGTATGCTATCCTCGAAAGGAGATTTTGGTTTATATGCAAAATTGAGATCATGTGTCTTGAAGATTTCATTGGCCATTGAAGCCGATGAGACAAGAAGGACAGGGAAGGAGCCAAGACGAAGATAGAGAAGTGGACCATATTTGGAGCAGAAGCTGTGCAAGCATTTATATGCTGCTGGGCTTAGGTGATGAAGGTGACCGATGAGAGGAAGTGCCGGTGGGCTTGGAGGGAGGTCAAGGTGGGTGCTGTGCTTTGTTGGTCTCTTTAAGATGTATTGAAGAAATAAGGTTAGGATGAGCATAAGGAGGAAGCAGAAGAAGTAGTATTGGAGATCAGTCATAGCAGCCGTTGTTAGAAACTTGTGGAGAGTATATTTGTAAATTATTGTCCATATAATAACTTCAGTAGCCAAAAATTAAATACATATGGTCTTTTTTTTTAAAAAAAAAAATTAAGTTAAAAGCGAATGTAAAATTTATTTTTAAAAAATAAAAGTCAACATAAGAAAAAACCATAAGAGAGAAAGGTTTTTTTGGTGCTCAATTTTTTTTTTTTTTTTGTGTCTAAACTTTGATTTCTCATCGTTTGCTATTTAAATTTTGATTTTTTATTTGTTATGTTGTCTAAATTAACCTAAAGTTCAATTTTACTGATGTATTAAATAAGATCTACCATATAATAGTTAAAAAATATATATTTCTATCATAGTTGATTGTCACGTAACTAATCTCGTTAAATATATTAGCAAAATTGAACTTTAAGTGAACTCAGATATCAAAATAAATAAAAAATCAAAATTTAAGTAACAAATCAGAAAAAATCAATAATTGAGCATGAAAAAAAAAAAAACAAAAATTGAGTATCAAAAAAGCCGTTCTTTTATATATATTTTTTTCTCATGTTGACTTTCTGTACTTACTCGAATTTTTTAAAATAAATTTTACATTCACTTTTAACTTAATTAAAAAAAAAAATCATATGCATTCCTCTCATTGGTCACCTTCGTCACCTAAGCCCAGTAGCATGTAAATGCTTGCACAACCTCTGCTCCAAATATGGTCCACTTCTCTATCTTTGTCTTGGCTCCTTCCCTGTCCTCCCTGTCTCATCGGCTTCAATGGCCAATGAAATCTTCAAGACACATGATCTCAATTTTGCATATAAACCAAAATCTCCTTTCGAGGATGGCATGCTATTTGGAAAACTCCACCGTTCTAATTCTTCATGTTCATTTCCCGATTCAATCAATCCATATTTTCTTATTTAAGCTTTTTTTTTCAATGAACAAAAAATCTTCATTGATCAAATAGAACAACTTACAAGGATTTTTTGATCCAGCATTCCGGAAAACAGAATTAGAAACAAAGACAAAATAACAGTTTCACAGAGAAAATTATATATAAAAGAATCAATTATTGTCTACAAGATTCCCCTGCTTCATTTACGATTGAGCACTGCTTCCTTCAAGATTCTCGTATTATGTGCAACCTATACAACTATACTGGACGCAGTGGAAAATGTTCTACAGTATAGTGTTTAGGAACATATGTTATTAGAATTCAAATTTACATTTTTAAGCCTTACCTTAGAGCTTGATTTTTCAGATTATAGCCAATCAGCCAAGCAATTAACCTTATGTGAAATCCGAATCTGCCATTGCTTTTGCAAGAGGTTACAAATGACATGAACCAACTGACTATACTCTCCGTGGCCATCTCCATGAGAAGTTATTAAGTGGATAACCAGCTGCCTAAGCCATCTTCAACCCAATGAGAACGTTTCTCGGTTCGGCACACAAAACCGAACAAATACTAATGTGATAGGCGAATCCTTGAATTCAGATGTCAGATTCATCTCGAAAAACACCTCTACAGGTGGATGTGCCAATGGAACTACGAAAAGCACCATCAATGTTTAATTTGACCCATCCCCTTGAGGTTTCTACCAGCCAATTAGCATTTCATATTTCAAACAAATGGACTTAACAAGCTTATTAACCAATTCAATACTAGCTGCAATTTGAGTTGTCAAACAAGATATATATTGCAGCAATTGGATTAGAATGAGGTACAAAATCCTCAACAAAAAGACTCTTATTTCGCCAAGTCCATAACAGCCAGCAACAAGTTTCGAACTATATGTTCCAAGGACTAGAGTAGGTAGAAATGTTTTGATCAAATTCTAGATTGGACCAAAACCATTCTTCTAGGTTAAAGAAAAAAATCATAAATTATGAAAGAGGCACCACACAACACCCAGGTAGATTTAGCATGCTCACAATCCCTTAGGACATGGAGAACTAATTTAGGATGGTCAATACATCGAGAACAATCCGAATCTGATGCTAGACCTTTACGAACCCCTTGAACATTGGAGAGTAATTTTCCATGAACAGCAAGCCATAAAAGTAGCCAAGTTGACTCTATTGTGATGATGAGGCACCCCTAGATATCGACCCAGTCAGTCGAAACCCTGTGGACTTGCTAACAGCCTGGCTTTACTTATAGCAACATTATTACCGCAAGAGATTCTTATTTTGCCGATATTGACTTTTTGACTTGATAAAAAACAAAACTTGTCAAGCACATCCATTGCCATGCGGTTCTGGTCAGTCTCAGCTTCAGCTTATAGAATTAAATCATCCGCAAAAAATAAATGTGATGAAAGAAAGCCATTCTTACTTAGCTGAATCAGTTTCCAAATACCTAAAGCCATTGCTTTTTGAATCAGATGAGTAAGACGCTTCATGCACAAAACAAAAGGATAAAGGGATAAAAGATTACCTTAACGAATCCCTCTAGGACTAGAAGGAATGAAGAAAGCAGTAGTAGCACCATTAAAATTAATTTACAAAGACAGTACTGAAGAAAGACATTTTATAAAGATAGAACACAATTGATCAGAAATCCCAAAATTCCTCAAGATATCAAACACAAAATCCCAGCGAAGGCAATCGTAGGCCTTTTCGAGATCAATCTTAATGGTCATCCATTTTTTTTTTTTTTTGCCTTGTTTCTTCCGCATAGAATGAATAACCTCGTGAGCAATAATAATATTATCAATAATCTTCATTCCAGGGACATAATTAACCTAAGTAGGGGCAATCACTGAAGAAAGAATGAGCTTCAATCCGTTGACAATAACTTTGGTGAGAATCTTGTAAGGTACATTGCATATAGCCTAATGGGGCGGAATTTCAGGTTGTCCACTTTAGAAATAGACACAAGAAGAGCTTTGGTAAGTGAACCATCCCAAATTTCATTCTATGACCCCATATCTTCAAGAGATAGATAGATACGTAAAACTAAGAAATAAAGAAGATAGAAAATTTTTAAAACAATATTGAGTAAACGTGAAATTTTTTTATCATTTTAGATGAATCCGAATGTAATTCTCTAGATCCTGATATTTAGGAGTTGTATTGTTAATGGAGAGGAGTCTATATTCAAGTGATCATCTGTTGAGAGGCCGATGTAAAGAATAGATAAAACGCCATTGATATTGTTAGTATGATATGAACACTGATCTTCCATCCATGTTCGCATCATTTTTCGTTGGACTTAGGGCTTTTACTCTCTGGTAATGTGCTTCTACCTCCCTCTGTTTTGTTGTTTGTTGCTCTCTTTATCTTCCTCTTGGCTCTAACTATCTATTATTTTTGGTTTAGATTTTTTTTTTTTTTTTTTTTGGCTTTTGTGGGACTTCCATTCCCAGGTTCCCAGTTTGGTTCCCTGACGTTTTCTTTCATTAGACATTAGGAGGCTTCACACATTGGTATAAGCTGACATAGCAGGCAGTTAATGTTTATATTATTAAATGATATCTGCAAGTACGACTCAAATCCTTGCCAGATAAATGGTTTGTTTTGATTTAGGATTAGAAAGCTAACTAACACAGAAAGCAAATTAATACCTGCATCAAAAATCATGGCATTCATCGATTTGATTATTTAAGCAGTAAAGGAACAAAAATTAAACAGAAAATGGGTTGGAGTGAACCACAGGAAGACACACAAGTGGATGGGCCATTTGCATAGTCATGCCTGATTTTTCTTTCATGTTAACCTTTGTTACATCTCCATCTGTACCGATCTTCCAATCAAAGCATTGAACCATAGCTGCAACAGTAGTATTCATCAAACTGAAGGCCAAATTTGAACCAGGACACATTCTCCTTCCTCCACCGAACGGAACAAAACCAGAATTTTGCCCCCTTTTAGTTTCCTCTCCGCTCTCTTGTTCTAAAGTTGAAACCAAGAATCTCTCTGGGCAAAACTCATCAGGGTTATCCCATACCTCTGGATCCCTCAGAATGGAATACAAATTGACCAGTACTGCAGTTTCTTCTGGTAAATCGAACCCTCCAATTTTACAACTATTGCGGCATAGCCTACGCATTATGGGTACTGGAGGGTGTAGTCGTAGCCCTTCCTTCACAACTGATTGCAGATAATGTAGGCTTGGGATGTCTGAATCTTCCACCAGTCTATTTTTTCCAACAACTAACTCTATCTCCTCTCTGAGCTTCTTGTATACATTTGGATTGTTGATGAGTTCTGCCATAATGTATTGCATTGCCATTGATGAAGTAGCGGTGCCTCCAAGAAAGATATCCTGACACCAACCAATAAAGAATGTTTTAGATTAGTTTGAGTAGCTCATACTGTATCATGTTTGGAAAGGAAGGGGAGAGCACATATTACCAGAAAGAAGGCCTTCATGTGGCCTCTGCTTATCTTAATTTCTGCATTTTTATCATGATATACTTCCAAGAGAATATCCATCAAATCTTTATCCTTTGTATTGCCACCGTTTCTTTTAGCTTTCTCTTCATGCTCCTTCAGGAGTTTCTCCAGCAACTTATCATACCTTTCAGGTAGATCCAAGACCTGTTTCCGATAAACCCAAAATCCTAATTTCCTCAAACCAAATAAATTTGCTACGTATAACTTTGCAACCAGCTCCAAGGCTCCCTTCACCAGCTGTCTACACTTCTTTGCCTCATTATCTTCCCCTGAACACCTTGTACTCATTGCCATTCTACATGTACTATTATTTGTTAGTGTCATTAGTTCATCTCCCAAATCAACAGCCTCATTTTTATGAGCTTTCTCCAACAACTTCTGCAAAAACCGGACAAGTTCTTCACGTCTAACATTCCTTGACCTTTCTAGCTGGCGTGTCCCAAGCAATTCTGTGGCACAAAGTTTCTTCATGAACCTCCAGTAATCCCCATATGGGGCGTTGCTAAAACTTGAGATTCCAAGTAATAAACTATCTCCAACATTAGATTTTGGTTTTTCTGCGAAGTTGAGATCATGTGTTTTGAAGATTTGGGTGGCCACTGAAGCTGATGAGGCGACAACAATAGGGTATGAGCCAAGGCGGAGATAGAGGAGAGGACCATATTTGGAGGACAACTTGTGCAAGCACCTATACACCGAAGGAGATAAGTGATGTATGTGACCGATGAAAGGAAGTGATGGTGGGCTTGGGGGGAGGCGAAGATGGGTGGTTTGCTTGGTTAATTTCTTGAAGATGTATTGAATTAGAAGTGTTGAGATGAGCCAGAGAAGGAAGAAGGACCAATATTGGATATCAGCTGTTATGGCGGCCATCGATAAGTGTTTTTCCTTGCTACAAACTTCTATTCTCAATTTTGCAAATTTTCCCTCAGAAGAAGCATACTATATGTCTTCTATTGCAGGAATGCAACCATGTCAGCAGCCTTCTTAACACAAAATCACGTTCACTGCTTCTAAAAGTGGCAGACTTTTAGATTACGAGAAACACCATAAAATATTAATCTAAGTAAAATCTATTGGACAAGAAAATTTCAAAGCTGATGGCTTGTCATTCAGTTTATGGGATTTAAAAAATTTGTTCGCAGCTACAAATCTCTGAGTTACATTTAAGAACGGAAGAGGTCATGGTGGCTTAATTTGCCAGAAGTAATTGAAAAAAATTAGCCAAAAATTAAGCTTCACTAACCCGGTCCAAATCCAATTGATAAATCACCTTAATCAGACCAAGTCAAAGAAAATTCATGCAACGCGGTCAAAAAACCTTTAATGTTACGATAATAACCTTTTTAGCAGCATTTTCTTTGCAAATGTCGAGGAATCGTGCCAGTAGAAGCAATTAAAACAGGAGCGTGGAATGCATTAAAAAAGTTTTTTGGCGTCTGGATCAACAGCAAGTGAACTCCTACTATAATCATTTTCTATCCTTATGCTAATCTTTCTTTCTTTTGACCTCAAATTAACCTTTAAAATATTACCCAATTCTCAATTTCATCCCAATACAATACAATTTACTGATCGGGCCCCTAATATTTTAAACATTTCTCAATTAGGTCTTTTTGTCCTTGTATTTTAGCATTTTCCATCAATTTTCTTCAAAATGGTGTTTTTTTGTTGCACAAATATGCACACTAGACACAAAATATAAACAAACATGGATAGAAGAACGCAGTTAAGAAATCCAAAATATTTGAAAATATAGAAATCCAACTAATCAAATATTTTGTTCAGGATGAAATTAAGAATTAATTTGAGGTTGTCGGGTTGTCCTATTCTTTTCCCAAGAAGGGAAAAAAAGTTTGTTAAGACTTCTCTGTTTAATTAAAGAATAACAATAAAGTTTATCCTACGCTTTTGGGAGAAAAAAATGTGAATCAAGAGAATTGACCTGACTGTAATAATTAAGCATCCATTAGTCAAATTAATTTCTTGATAAATTAACTAAACAACTTGTCATTAAAAAGGAAAGAAACAACGGTTACAAATTAAACATCAAAAGATAAAATCCACTAGCTTGATCAATACATAATCTTTAACATTTATTCTCTTATTGCCAAAAGCATTACTGTTATCCTAACAAATGGCCACCTTGGAACTCTCCAGTCTCCACACGCTTATTCCTAATAATCTCCCGTGCTCTATGTCCTACTTCTTCATAATTTCACCTGCACATAAATGACAAAGTAAATAGAAGAATTGAAAGAAAAGATAAGCAAGAAGAAGATAGCAGATATCCATCAACAAAAAGAACTCAAGGAGGGTGTGTGTCTTAAGAAAGAGAGTTACATGGTTCAAAGTTGGTAGAACACTTGTCAGGGAGCTGCAAGGCCATGTTCCTGTCAACACCAGAAATTGGAGGGCCATTTACGAGTGTACACAAGCAAGGTTGGCCAAGAGCTTTCACAGCATTGCAGCAGGCCTCACTTGGTTGGATGGGACTAAAAGGAGCAACTGCTGCCCTGCAAGGTATCAGTTGAATGAGAGCGGAGAAGAAAGTGCTGCCACAAGGATGTGACTGCCCTTGCTCCACCAAGCATGTCAGCACCAGCACAAGTACTAACAATGGCGAAACCTTGGCACCAGAGAGCTTCACCATCTTGTAACTTAAATATCTCCTTGATTGATGGATACTTTCTTAATGGAAGAAATTGGCCTCAGAGATGATCTACATATATAGCAAACGAACTCATGCCTGTTTGCACCTCGTTCCTAACCCCAAGCTACGGTGATCATGCGATTCTTGTGTCAGCTCTGCTTTCGATCTTACCACTGTTGTTGCGCTGATGAAAACAGTTGGTAAATTCAAATATCATGACTCCTTGCATTCGTTCAATTTTAACGTCTTACAATCCATGTCTCTTACAAGGACAACAGAGTCCTCTAGAAATTTGGACTGCGGTTTTTTATAGGCAAAACAAGTTTTGATTGATCATAGTCATCCATTGTTCCTCCTGATTGACTGATCTTCGTCTGTTTATTATTGTATTTTCACAACAGATCATTAATTTACCTTCCTAATCTGTGTCTTAACTAACTCATTGAGTTTCTTAACTCTTAATCAGAGGCTGATCTAAATCCAAATTTGGTTCTATAACAGAAAACATTAGTCACTAAAACACAACGGAGAGAGACGGGTTGTTAGAGCAAATTAAAATTCCCTTTGTCCTGGTCTGGAAACCACGTGCTTGTCAAATAAAATGACTCCACAACCATATCCCCAATCAGTCATCTATTTCCAATTGAATTTTATCATTTGAACAGATCTTTCAGGTTTTATTTCAGTACATTTGCACCATGTAGAATTAAATTTTCAGTACATGTGGAAATGTCAAAATTACATGCTATGAAAGGGCTAAATAAATGCTCCAATTCCACCAAAAATTCCTTCTTAATTGCAAACAAATCATCCCAAGAACCATCAGGTGATGTTTGCATCTCCGGAGCAACAACAAATAATGCCAGTTATCAGGATTCCCCTTTGTTTCCTTTTAGGTTGATCGCTGCAAGCTCCAGTTCAACAAACTCTCCTGCACACATAGGTGGATATTTGCTGGCCAGTCGAGATTCGGCAAAATGACCTAAGGGCTTCAACACCGCGTCTGATGCTATGTGTGCAAAAAGCTGCATATGACCGAGGATGAAACAAGCAAGCACAAGATGCTTAGACAAATGCAGTTTGTTATTTGTAAGGTTTTAAACAACAACATCCAAGAAGATGCTTTGACAAATGCAGTTTGTTATTTGTAAGGTTTTAAACAAAAAGATCCAAGAGGATGATGATGGAGGAGATGATATGCTTAGCTCCACTTACAGTTGAGGAAACTCTCCAAAGGCTGCGGTTTTGCCCTGATGCTAATTTGATTGCATCAGTTGTCCTGTTTGTGACAACAACTTCATGCATGCCAGCCAAGCAGTCTCCCGCAGTCAACCACTCAATCTGCCAATAAAAGTAGTGCAAAAAACTGTTAAGATTAAAAGCCGGCTATAACTGAAGACCAAGTTCTACTAAAGAAGTTCATTAAACTGTGTTCAGAGCTTTAAGCCACTAATGGAATTGAACATAAAGTTAATTGAACTGAAAACTAACGAACCAACTACAATACATGGTCCAAATATTCTTCCAGTTGTAAATAATTCCATGTGAATAACAACACCCAAATACTGGTAATTTGTCTTCTATAAACCAGATTTATATGTTTCTTCTGCTTTCTCAAAGGAAGCTGGTAGCATATGAGGCTGATAATTAGAAGAAAAATACATAAAACTAAACGCTAAGTCACAAATAGGACAACAAAATGATCACGAAGTTGAAGTTGATTACAACAGTGCCACTTGTATCTTGTTTGTGATTTTTCATGTCTTAAAAATTGTGTCTTTTAGCATCACTCTAATTTGAATTACAAGTATCCTTATTGATAACCACAAAACTATCAGTCTTTATATGCTCTTACCTGCTTTCCTGTCTGAATGAGAAGACATCCTGAAGGAACCTTCACATCAACTTTCTGCCCATTCCTTAGCCAAATGTTTAGACCAGGAAATCGACTTCTGCCATGAATTGTTAGAAAGTTAAGGTCATAGTGATACCCTGCAAAGACAGTGCCTTCCTGGCTATGACGGCTGAGATCACTCCCTGTTGGAGCAAGCAGATGTGGTCCCTGGTGTTCAAAAGGGAGAATGGGATTTGTCATGCAGTAAAAGTTGATGAGTAAGAAATTACTACTGGAAACAAATTACTACTGGAAACAATTAAGAATATCGTAGGTGCTCTGATTCAAGTATAATAACAGCACAGCTGAGTTAAAGGGACAAAGTGTATAAAGAATTAGTAACAGAAAAGTTCCTAATAGAAATTTGCACACTCCTTATCTTTTAATAAAAATGCTAAAGCAAAAAAAAAATGAGGTGTGACAATTATCAAGCCCTTAAGTTCTACAGCTGTGGAGGAATGGAGTATGATGCCCATGTGTTCTAGGTTCAATTCTCCAAAAAACAAAATACAAAAAAAATTAAAATTGAATAAAAATAGGAAAAGATCAGGGAGAAAGAGAAACTTAGCTTGAAGGGACAGGTAAAAAGTTAAAAAGTTAGAACATTTTACTAAAACATAGAAGATAGTAATTTAAAAAAATTAAAAAACTGCTACTGATAGGGGTCCCAATGACACCCAACCCACATTGAATGAGTAGAACACTCCCACCGGAAAAAATAAATGTATCTCATAAAATGGAAGGGCACAGAAAGATTATGAAGCCATTACATTCTCTTGTTTAATTTATGTTTCTTGCTTTAGTGCTAAAAATAGATCAAGGAGAAGAGATTAGAAAACAGGAACATGGACAAAAATAATAAGTTAGATAAGCAAAATTTTCACCTGTTTCATAAGAGAAGTAAATGCATCCTTGGGCAAACCAAAACCAATTGCGGCCAATTCAGCAACAGCCTGATAAACAAATGGCATAGAGAACAATATAAGAAATATAATAGACGACAAATGCAATCAAGTAAACAAACGACATTAATAGATTACCTCTATTGCAGATATCATTTTGCAACCCCATGAGTCCATAGTGTCTTTCCATTCAGGAAAACCTTCAGGTATTACAGGTTCTGAATTAAGTTCCTATCAAATTGAGATTGAAATTAGCAAATAGCAATTAGAGGAGAAAAACGATAAAAGGGAAAGGAATGTTCCCATACCTTAAAGCGAGTGTTTGACGGTCGAGGACCTACTCTCCACATGTATCGCCATTTAGGATCGGGTCCATTAGGAGTGGATGGTTGGAACTCTTTGGGCATTGCTTTTAAATTGTTTTGCATCTCTTTATCAACCAGGCTTCTTGGAACTTCCACTCCCTCAGGTGTCACTCCAACCTGTTATGCCCATTCACATAAATGATTCTTTTATTTCTCTTTTTACAAAATAATAATAATACAATTTAAGCAATCAATTCGAGGCAATAACATATCCTTCTACATCCCCTTCTTTTCCTTCATGACTCGGAAAGACAGCCTATATTTAGTCTTTAAAACTTAAAATCAGGAAGAGAAGGTAACTTCTTTAACAAAGACACTTGTGAGCATCTCTATCTACCTTTCATTTCTTTGATCTTCTTAATAACCAACTAAACTCCTGGATATCAATCAGAGTCCCTTTCAGCAACTACAACGGTTCACAGCTTCATCAATCGTGATGTGCTATTTTCAGAATGGTGTTTCCATAACAGATCCATATAAAAAATTCTAGTCACCAGCAATGATCCTAAAACCTAATGAAACAATCTAAGACTTTTTCAGCTAGCAAACAAGAACAGGGAGAATAAACCAATAATTCCTTTGCTTCAAGCGAATAACAGTAAAATTCACAAGCAGTAATTTTTTTTTTTTTGCTATGCCATTCAGTAATTAAAAAAAAAAAAAAAGAAAGAAAGAAAACAAAAAGAATCCAACAAGTCAAACAATTAGATCAACTGGAACTATGGGGTACTACTGTCGACAATATTCCCGTGGCAATATCCAAATTTTTCCACATTGATGGAGTAGAAAGAAAGCGATCTAATTTCCAATTCATTCTCACATTTCTCGGAAACCGAAGGAATTTCTCTCCCAGCATTCTCGCAAACATCCACTAAATCAAACTCGACAAACACTTTAGTTCCTCAAACCCCAAATTCAAAATCAAAACTTTCCCTCATTTTCCCACACTTTCTCAACACCAGACATCACAAACCTAAAAACATACAAAAAAAAAAGTTCCCAAAATTTATAATCCAATACAAACATCCACATTAACACCTTCAAATCCTTAAAATTCTCACCTTCCCAAACGGAAAACTAAGACTTTCTCTCTTTTCTCTCACTTTCTCAAAAAAAAAAAAATCCAAAACCCCCAAAAAACCACACAATTAACCAATAAATCAAAAAGAAAGAAAGAAAAAACTTTAAAAAAGACCTGATAATGCAAGTGAGGTCTCTCTTGTAATAACTTGAACTCTCTAGGTTTTTCAAAGTACTTCTCCATCATATCAATAAACCGATCATTATCAGCCGCAGTACATCTTGGGTCCTTGACTACCAAAGCTCCAGTTTCTCTCAGGATCTGGCTCACTTTTTCACACAATTCCCTCAGCCATGACCCAACTTCTTTGATTTGACCAGATAATTTCACCGGATCAGTGCTCAGTTTATCGGCGATCTCTAAATATCTCGAGAGATCAATCACTGGTATCTCCATTGTTGATCAATTCTGGTTTTTGGCTTGTTTTCTCTTTTGGGTTTTATATAGAAACTTAGATAGAGAGAGAGTGATGAGACTGTTGGCTGTGGCGGGATAGTGAGCTATTTCTTTTATTTTTATTCATTGCAAACTACATCTAACTCATCCAACTATTATATATTTTTCGATTAGGTCCTTATACGTTTCAGTTGAGCACCGATGAGACTTTTTTTTTTTTTTTTACCGTAATCAAGGAAATATCACCCTCCTTTAGACCAACTTATGTACACATGGTTGTATGCATTGCATTTTCTCTCTAAAAATATGAACTTCTATTTTGACCTAAGTTTTGGCACATGTTGGACAAATGTTTGCATAAAAAGGTGGGAAAAAATCAAAATTTTAAAAATCTATACTGATATTGACGTTGGCATGTGGTGTTAAATTCATGCTATGTTGGTTGTGTACATTGCACTTCCACCCAGAGATACTAATTTCTATTTTTATTTCATAAATAAGTAGTACATATTCATAACTAATGGTAAAAAATAACAATGTTGAAAATTTTAAATTTTGATTGTAAAAATAGAAAAATACAAAATAATACCATAGATTATTGGTAATACAGTTATGGATTTATTAATATCAAAACGATGATATTGCATCAAGATTATATATATATATATATATATATATATATATATGGTATCAAAATTGATGTGTCAATGATGCAGTAGAAACTTTTGAAGATGAAGGATCTATCAGAATATTTGTTAATAGTTGGAGGGGTCATGTGTAGTTTATTCTACTGTAAGCGAAAGGGAATTTGGTTTGGTGCGCGCTTTGGAGATTCGCGTGGGAGCTGTCTAGCGTGTGACTGTATGGGAAGCAAAGCACTTATTCGGGTCATATAATATCTGCACACGTGGCTGTCGTATTTTACCCCGTATATTCGGAAAATCTCATAAATAAAAAAAATCATGTCTTTTATTTGTCAAAATGTTCGTTCGATTTTCCTTTTTACCTGCAGTAGTTTTCGCATCAAAATGAGGAATTATAATTACATTACAATTACAATAAAACCACAAGAAAACAAAAAATCACTGTAACATTTCACTGTTTACTTTTTTTTTTTTTTCCAGCTTCCAAGCTTTTACTTTCTTTTTTTTTTTTTTTTTTTCATTTTGGTTGCTGGCTTTCAAGCTTTTAACGAAATTGTCTTTTATTTAGATTTTTTTTTCTAATTTTTTTTATTTTGATAATTAAAATCTTATTATATTTAATTTTTATTCCTATAACAAAACAAAAAAAAACTATAGCATTTTACTGTTTATTTACTGTTCACTTTTTTTTCGTTTCGATTGCTAGTTTTCAAGCTTTTAAGGAAATTGCTTTTTATTTTGGTCTCTTTTCTTAATCTTTTTTTTTTATTTTGATCATTAAAATTTTATTATATTTAATTTTTATCCCTATAATAAATGTTTTTTTCTTGGCTTTTAGTAAAAATTTATGTTCTTTTTTTTGTTCCTATTTTATGATATATTTTTATTTTGGTCATTAAGTTTTATCATATCTGATTTTTATCCTTATTATATTAAAACTAAATAAAGTTTACCATCCTAAGCTTTTTTTTTTTTTTGGCTTTTAGTGAAACTTTTCTTTCTATTATAATTCCTGTTTTGTGATTTTTTTTTCTTTTTTTTGCCATTAAATTTAGTAGGATTTTTTTTTAGTCCTTGTTTTGTAATTTTTTTTTATTTTGATCATTAAATTTTTATTATATTAAATTTTTTTCTTGCAAGAAACTATTTTTTACTTTTAGTAAAACTTTTTGTTATATTTTTCTTTTTGCTTTGTGATCTTTCATTTATTTTGATCATTAATTTTTTATTATATTTTATTATTATTCATTCTACACTAAAATTAAATACAGCTTTCATTATTCTATTTTTTTTTTAGTAAAAAAATATTTTCTGTTTTGATTCTTATTTTATTAATTTTTTATTTTGGTCATTAAAATTCTATAATTTTTTACTTTTGTTCCCGCCTTATGCATAGTGAATTTTTTAAGTCTTATTGTTTATAAGTTTTTTTTTTTTTTTTTTTTTTTTTTTTTTTTTTTTGCTTTTAGTGAAAGTTTTTTTTTATTTATTTTGATCTTTTTTATGATCTTTATTTTGTTTTGATCATTTAATTTTTATCGTATGTAATTTTATCTTTATTTTCTTTACCAAATTCTCGATTTGACAAAGGTTTTTTATCTTTTTATTTTGGGTGGTTTTTCTCGTCTCGTTACCAAATTACGGATGAATAATATATGTTAAAAATTAATCATCTAAAATTCAAAAAACTACCACATTATTATTTTAATTATTAGTTATTATACATATTTTAATTATATCAAACAATATCTAATTAGCAACATTATATTACTCAACTTTACTGATTTTTCGTTCAACTAACCTTGCCGTAAATTATGAAATACATGTTTTTGTTCTTTTTTTTTGAATTCTTTTCCGGTAATACTTTTAAATAATTATTTTTAAATTTTAAATTTTATATAAATGAATACACAAGAATGTTGTATGGCTCACTCCACAACAACGCGCGAGATGTATGCTAGTAACTATATAAAGTAAGATGCTCATTCTATACTTACGCTTAAAAATATATGTAGGATTATTTTTATATTTTTTTATAAAATATGTAGGATTATTTGAAAGGGTTGATATAACTAAAATGGTCAATGGATTAGATTCAGATCGAATCATAATAAATAAGGATCAAATTTGTTTAATAAAACGGATCAAATTGAAACTTGTGAATTCAAATTGAGTTTTGAAAATATTAATTCGGATTTAGTTTTAAAAATATTAATTTGGATTTGGATTTTTGTGGATTTATCATTTGGTTTTGTAAAAAATATATGCTTACCACATTTAATATATTGCTTCAATATAAAACATGTTTCAATCACAACACGTATAAAAAATATGTTAAGATGATATTTCGTTAACTAATTTTGTAAATAATTTAAAATACAATGCAATTCAAAAAATAAAATCAAATAATCATAATAAAAATTCAACATGAACAAGAGGAAGTACGGTATAAAAGAAACATTAATAAAAAAATCTTCGTTTCTTGTTCACGTAGTAGCAAAATAAATATTTGTTAATTTAAATTTCAAGATAATAGTGCTAAAAATCAATGCCCGTAGAAAAAGAAATAACAAAAAAGTATATTAATATTATCATATCTTTATAACAAGCTACTTCACAAAAATTTACAAGTACATGTTACTTTACCAACACTAATAATATCACATGATTCAATAAGTACTAATATTGCATTTTTTAAAACTTTTATTTAAATCTAGTCCTCATCAATTCTTAATAATACAAGTTTTTTTAATATTTCAAACTCTAACCTCTTGGCACTTGTATCTACACCTATTCTCTATAAGTGAAACGACAAAAAAATAATATAATTTGGATATTCAAATATTGTAAAGTAACCAATGCAAAAGTTGATTTGAACTATAGTTTTATGTTTAACATTAAAATACCAAAAGGGGCTCAAATTTGTAAAAAGTTGGTCCCACATGCTATAATTTTTACCATCAAATTTGAAACAAAATGAAATAATTAGTTTTCAATATATTTCTTATTCAACTCCACGATAGTTCCTATTTTATATATATATACATTAAAAAAGATAAATAATATTTTTGATAATTGTTTAATGCATAAAGAGTATAAATCTAATGAGTTTAAGCAAATGAAGTTCTGTATGTTTTTTTTGTTTTGATTTAAAGAACAATCACTAGTAGTTGTTATTGCATCCACAACTCTTAGAAGTAAAAATACATAATAATCGTTAATTATTTTACCACCCATACTAAATGCAACTTCGTAAGCAATAGTAATTGCAAGACACCTAGGAAATCATGACCACACCTAGGAAATCATGACCAATTTTTTAAAAACATAATCGTACTAGAAAAACGATATGATTTATTTGAAATTTAGAATAAATAAACCCTAAGTTGCAAGTGGTCTTATGTTTATACATTTTTATCATAATTAAATTTTTAATATTTTAAAAATATTATATTTGTGAAAAATAATATTATTTTTTAATTTTGAATCGAATTATCGTCGGATCGGATCCAAGTAAGTTTATGCTTAATTTATTTAATAAACGAGTTTATGGATTCAAATCGCAATCGGACGGTGATAAAAAAATTGTTTATCAAATTTGTTTAATTACATTGAATTCAGATCAAAATTGTGTCAAGATTCAAACCATTTATAAACCTAAATGTAACTTTTGGTTTGAGTATAATTCAATTTTCCTTTTCATAATTAATTTACGACGAGGAATCAGGTTAGAAAAATAATTGACAAAAAAGTGAAAAGAAGCGAATTTCTTGAATAATAGAGATATTGTAAGTTATGATTAACAAGTTAAAAGTTAATTTTTTTTTCTTACGTTCTTAAATAATTGATATGTTTTTTCTTGACTGTTTAGATGGAGACATTAGAACTAGCATGTAAGAGAATTTATTCAATTTGTTTGAAATGTATTGGGTCTGTATGGGAGTGTGCATCTGTTTAAGAAGAAATTTAATGTTGATAGATAAAAAACTAGGTATTATCAATAAAAAAGAAAACAATAAATCTTTCTTTAACTGGGATTGTTATTATCCTTGAGCTAAGTATTTTTATTGTTTCAATAAAAGATAAGAGATAGCAACTAATTAAGTATTTGTTTTTCTCCAACATAATAAAAAGACATTTAATTTATTAATGTTGGACGTGAAGAAATGATAACTTTTTTGAAAGAATGATGCAGTACAAACGATTTTTTTTATATAAAATTCTTAGTTAAATATATATGGCATTAATTATCAACATGGAAAACCAGTTGATAATTTTTCCTGTTGAAGTCAATGCAAGGTTGCCCAAGCATTATGCAATACAGGCCCAATCCAAAAAAAGCCCAGAATCCAACCCATTCATAACCAATTTCCTTATTAATAAAATAAATTTAAATCTAAATCCACGTGTGTTCTATACATTGGAAGATTTTAGATTTATTTCATTATTCTGTGGGGTACCCACTCCGAGAATAGAGCACAAACCTAGGGAAATTGAAACCTAATTTAAAAGGATCTGAGAAGGAAGAATACCCACAATGTAGCAGAGTTACCATCTTACTCGAACATTTTACTTCAAATAAATCATTATCTTATTAATTAAGATGGTTATTGTACGATAGTTTTGATATTTTTTTATCGCACTCATCTTTTCGTGTATATCATCAAATTTATTAGTTATATATATCCATCTAAAATTTAGATATTATTCGTATGCAGAATTGAATTACATTGGTAATTTAAAAAAATCACTGTATGAAAATAATAAAATTATTTTTATTTGAAGTAACACAACGATCTGTTACCATACGGTAAATCAGTGTAATAACTCGAAGCAAAAGGAGCGAATATAACTAGTTTATTTACAAAAATAAAAGGAATTCTCAAATACTCAGGCCCATCCAAATCTACATTGAAAGGCAAATGAGTTGACCCTTCCGTTAGCCAAAAGTGCATGTAGAGTTCAGAGGTTACGTACTAGCTCCTATACTATATTTACGAAAAAACAAAACATGACATGACTGGAAAATCAGTAACAGCCTTCTATCAATAACCTCAATAACAGTAATAAAAAATTGAAAGATTAACTTCAACAAATTCATGGACTAATTTTCATTTACGTAAAAAAGATAAGAAAAAAAGAGTTTCGTTTACGCTCAAAGTAAATATAAGTTTAACAATAGTTCTAACTTGTATTTAATGTTTTCACCAGAAAATATTTCAAATAATTGTTGGGTCAAATTCAATATACCTTAAACAAGAGAAACAAAATAATTATTTCTTTTACCTCGGAGTGTCCAGTCCAATATCTCTTCTTCTACCTTATATGTTAAAAAAAACATATTTAAGGTAATTGATTTGGACAAAATGGGTTCTAAAAACTCTAATAATTTAAATAAATAATTTTGAGTTAGAATCTTTATGTTTGAAAAAACTTTTAAATATTTGTGTTTATTTTATGTGTTTGATAAAATAATCGAGTGATTAATTTAGGTTTAAGATATTTTAGGGATTAAAATAAAATATGAAGATAAAAATAAAAATAAAAAGTAAAAGTTAATAATAATTTTTCCAGAAATCAAGTAAAAGCCCAAGCCCAAGAAAATTGGGTCTCTACTAAAAAAAGTGGGAAGCAAAGCTGAGCAATCAAAATAAAATGGGAGAAATTTCGCCGCCTCTCAGCCACTTCCTGTAATGCTAGCCCTCCTGCTAAAACCTCAGCCTCTCTCTTTCTCTCTCTAAAACCCCTCCCCTTTACTTCCTCTGTCTCTCTCTGTATCTAATAACAGATACATACACACCACTTAACAACAGCAACAACTCTATATCTATGTGTGTATCGGTTTGTTGATATAGAGCTGCGATTGGATTCAAGCTTTTTTCGTCACTTAATTGGTAATAATAATCAATAAAGTTTGAGTCTTTTTGTCTTTTGGTTCATTTCCATTGCCATTTGCTTGTTTTTGTAGGAACCCATTTTTCATTTTTTTCTTCCCTTTATTGGTTGTGATTTGTTTGATATTTTTTTTTTTTGGTTTAGAATCAGTGTTTGTAATGCAAAGTTTTGATTTTTTATTTTTTCTATGTGATTTGATTGAGTTTGATTTTTAATATGACTTGAAATCCTGTTATTTATAATTGTATGTGTTATTGGGGTCTGAATTAGTTGATTTTTTATGTTTATCAATGTGGGGGGGGGGGGTGAAATTTTGGTGTTTTTTAATTAGTCTTATCAGTTTTAATCTGAAAGTGAAAATAGAATCATCAAAGTTAGTTGATGCTCCTGGATTAAAGTTTTTTTTGTGAGTGTATGTTGCTTATGCGGTAGACACTGTAACTTAATGGCTGCTCTAGTTCATTTTGTAATGGTTGAAACTTAATACTGTCCTTTGGCTTTAAAGATACAAGGTCTGAAACTTTCCAAGATAAGTAAGTGGGAGAAGATTGAAAGTCTCAGAGCAATGCTTCCTCTATTAAATATGTTTTCATGTATGCTGGAGCACTTACAACTGCACATATGCATGAACACATGCATATCAATGAATGATTGCATTCTCATGTGTGTATTCTGATCCTTTGTTATATTGATATTGTTTTTAGTTTTCACTGAACTGGGCATTCTTTCCTTTTCAAAAGCTACTCAACCTTATTAGGTTTTTGAATTAGGAGGTGAAAATGGCCGGGAAATCTAATAAAGGGAGGAACCGAAGAGGGTCCAATAACACAACAAGTTCTTCAGAGCCAATGGCTTCATCCGATGCTCCTGTGAAAGATGACATAGCTGCTTCAGAAGCTGGTGTAGCCACTGTTAATGGAGTACCGGCTGGGAGTGAATCAACTAATGGCGCCTCAGAGATAATGGAGTCTGACACAGCAAATTCTGCAAGCGAAGCGAAGCAAGGTTGCCTTTGTGATAGCTTTTTTTTGCTTTACCTCAAAGCCTTTCACTAACAGCATGGTTGGTAACATTACTATTTCTGTGTCAACCCAACATAGTGAAATAGTTGTGCCAATCATTTGTTGGAATTGAACTTAATTAATGCTGCATTACTGGTTTGCAAGCTGTCTTTTGTTTTGTCACACATTTCATTTGGTGTTTTCCCTGTGACTGCAGGTGATCTTCATCTTTACCCTGTCTCTGTCAAGACACAAAGTAGCGAGAAGCTTGAGCTACAAGTGAGCTAACTTGTTCCTTCAAATAATTTTGTTTGACAATTTCAATGGGATTGGCCCTCTGTGCATTTGGTTTACCCTTTTAGAAGTACCTGTTTTTCTGTCCCCATTCTGCAAAGCAGAAATTTTTTTCTTCCTTTGCTCAAACAATTAAGTGATGACCTCTAGTTTTAAACATGATCTTTCTCTAGGCATGTTTTTTGCTTATTTATGTCAATCAATTGATGAATAATATAAAAACGCAGTTGAATCCGGGAGATTCTGTCATGGATGTAAGACAATTCCTTCTTGATGCTCCTGAGACGTGTTTCTTTACATGCTATGACTTGTTGCTGCACACAAAGGATGGTTCAACTCATCAACTAGAAGATTATAATGAAATATCTGAAGTAGCTGACATTACTTCTGGTGGTTGCTCCTTGGAGATGGTTGCTGGTCTGTTAGCATTACTTTCTCTTTTGGTAGTAGAGATCCATTTACGAAATCTTCTAACATGGAAACTTTTTTGGCAGCACCTTATGATGATAGATCAATCAGGGCTCATGTTCACCGCACAAGAGAATTGCTTTCACTTTCTACACTTCATGCTTCATTATCAACATCCCTTGCTTTAGAGTATGAGACAGCACAAAACAAAGCTCCAGGTTCAGGTGGCTTGTCATATTCATCTTACAATTATTTTTCTTAAATTATATACGAAGTATTTGTTAACACTTCATTTAGTGCCAAAGACGTTCATAAAGTGCATTTCACTTTAATGTAGACGCTGGAAAAACTGAGGTACCTGAGCTTGATGGTATGGGATTTATGGAGGATGTTGCAGGCTCAGTTGGTAAATTGTTATCATTCCCAAGAAAGGAGATCAAGTGTGTGGACAGTGTTTTTTTTTCATCCTTCAATCCTCCCCCAAGCCATAGAAGGTCCTGCCCTCTCACTTTCTCTCTTTGAATTTTGAACAAAAAAATTGACATTTCCCTTGGAATGTATTTTAGCAAAATAATATGTTTTTTTGGTTGCCTCTCCAGGCTTGTTGGGGATTTAATTTATTTGGATGTAGTAACATTGGAGGGTAACAAATATTGTATTACTGGAACCACGAAGATGTTCTATGTCAATTCAAGCACAGAGAATGTCCTTGACCCAAGGCCTAGCAAAGCTGCTTCTGAAGCAACTACCCTCGTTGGACTTCTGCAGAAAATCAGTCCCAAGTTCAAAAAAGGTAAAGGTGATAGAGAATTTATAGTTTATTGAGGCTTGAGGTTGATTGCTTAGTGCTGACTTTTGAATAATACATTTCCCAATATGTTCATGTTTTGAAGCTTTTCGTGAAATTTTGGAGCGTAAGGGTTCTGCACACCCTTTTGAAAACGTTCAATCTCTCCTGCCACCAAATTCGTGGCTTGGATTATACCCAGTTCCTGGTAAGTGACCCTTTGTTAATTCTAATTTGTATATTTATCCAATTTAGTCTCCTAAAGTTGCAGAATCCTTACTGCTTTCACTTGAATGACCACTCTTTCCTTGCAATTTCTAGAGTAAACCAACTTGCAAGGTATTTTGGCTTCTTTGAGATGGGTTCTGAGATGTAATTCTAATCTTCATTAATTTTTTTTTGTTGGTCCTCTCGAACTTATCTGATTTCATCCAAACTTCAAACTCGTCCTCCATTTATATTATTACTTTGTTCATTTAATAGCATGGTCCATCAGTCATAGATATCAAGGAAGCTTCTGTTAATATTTTTCAACTGAAGTAAGCTTTATGGGAATGTTTATTATCTAAGTTTTGAATTATCATCTGTCTCATGTTAGTCCTGGTGACAAATTTGTGTGTGTGTGTGGGGGGGGCAGGGGGTTGTTACGGTGGAATAGCTATGCTTTCGTACAAGGCATTGTAGCACAAGATTTGATAGGAATAATTAGAGAACAGAGAGATGAAAAGAGGTAATTGAAAGAGAAGACTGGAAGGAGGAATTGGAGTTTGAGAAGGGAACTCCCTTTCAGAGCATGATCAGTTTTCACCCACTTGGGAGCTATCCTATTTCACAGCAATAAGGCTTTTCAAGCTTAACTGCAATAATAACCAAAGGAAATCAGACAACAACAACTGTGCCCTGTATCTTCTCATACTTCTTTTATCGGTCTTTATTGGCTCAAATTACTAATTTAGGTCCCATGTGATCATGTGTTTTTGCTGGTGTGAAATGTAAAAACAGGCTGCAAAGCCTGTACCAACTAATTAATTGTTCAGGAAAAGTTTTTGTTTTGAAAGGATAATTAGAACTTTATTTGGTGGTGAAATTTTATATTAAAATATGTTGACATTTATGCTACTAAAATGAAGATCAAAACAGAACAAAAAAACAACTTTTGAAGTGCCAATTCGAGGCACTGTAGCCACCGTAGCATGAAATAACAGGGCACCAAATATGCACCTTTGGATGAATTGGCTACTATCCATAAGAATGACAGATCTGTGAAACTAATTGGTTCATTTGACACTTCACCCACATGAGCTTCACAAATTTGTTTTCTCAGATCATAGACGTGATGCTGCTAGAGCGGAGGATGCACTAACTCTTTCATATGGTAGTGAGTTGATTGGCATGCAAAGAGATTGGAATGAGGAGTTGCAATCCTGTCGGGAATTTCCCCATTCAACTCCTCAGGAAAGGTATATTAGTCATCTGTGCTATTACCTTTATAAATTTGTGTTTGTGTGCTGCGTTGTTTCTTCTTTGTGTGCTGTGTTGTTTCTTCAGTGTACAATTTCTTTATATTTCATCACCTATCCCTTATCAGGATGATTTTGTCTCAGGATATTGCGTGATAGGGCTCTCTACAAAGTGACTTCTGACTTTGTTGATGCAGCAATTAAAGGTGCTATTGGAGTCATCAGCAGATGTATTCCCCCCATAAATCCAACTGATCCAGAGTGCTTTCACATGTTAGTGGGACATTTAAAAATTCTGAATATCTATTACATCTTTTGAGAAGTCGATGCTATTTGTCTTGTTCGAGCATTGCATGATATATTCTGCATCTTTTGGCCAAAATGCTATTTCTTTGAGAGGTTTGTGATCATTATTAAACTTTTTTGTAATAGCTTGTTCTTGTTTATTCTTATTCTAGGTATGTTCACAACAATATATTCTTCAGTTTTGCTGTGGATGCGGACCTTGAACTGCTTTCCAAGAAATGCAATTCAGATACTAGTTCAAAGACCGAGAACACTAGTTCTTCGATTAATTCATCTGAAAAGGTTACCCGCGATTTGCATGGGGATGGTGGAATTGCTAATGGAGTGAAATGTGACGGATCAACTACAGAAGTGGTGGAATTGCCTCCTGAATCATCTTCTGAGCCGCAGTTGGCTGAGAGTGAACAAGCTACATATGCTTCGGCAAATAATGATCTGAAAGGCACCAAAGCCTACCAGGAAGCTGATGTCCCTGGTTTATATAATCTTGCCATGGCCATAATTGATTACAGGGGTCACAGAGTGGTAGCCCAGGTGTGTATCATAGATGCAATTCTATTCTCTCTCTCACTCATATGTGCAGAAACTTTACTCTAACGTGCCTGCGCAACTCTAGTCTAATGACATGCTTGTTTCTAGTTATCATTTAAATTCTTATCAAAAGGAATACAGGTTTAGGCAAACCTCTCTTGTTCGTCAACAAAATTGGTGTCTGCTTTTTTTTTTCTTCAGCATAAGTTATATGATTACATATCTAAATTTGCTCTCTTTGATTTTAGGGGAAAAAGAATAACATTGCGAATCCTAATCCATGTCATGTTCCCTATTGCATTGAACTTCTTGTCTTACTTGACCACCTGTAGCCAATAACGTTGCGAATCCTAATCCATGTCATGTTTCCTATTGCATTGACCTTTGTCTTACTTGACTGCCTGTAGCCATTTTTGGTATTCCTATCTTTTCTTTCTTAATACTTTTTTTTTTTTTAATAATGTTGGTCATATTATCATCCCATTCTTGTTTGAATTTTGTTGTAGAGTGTCTTACCTGGCATTCTTCAAGGGGATAAATCAGACTCTCTTCTGTATGGTTCTGTTGATAATGGCAAGAAAATATGCTGGAATGAAGATTTTCATTCCAAGGTGAGAAGAAATTTTAGTTATGATGTTATGGGTTGATGGTGATGCATCATTAATTGGGAGTACCTTGTAGTCAAGGTAGATAACTTTTTTATTAGTTTTGGGAAGCTACATCCTAACTGGCACCATTTATATATCTCGGGCACGATGCTACATTCTAACATTAGTTTGTTCTTAGATATGTATACCAGACACTTATGCGTCAAGTACTGATCTTTATGTGTCTCAGGTGGTCGAAGCTGCCAAACGCCTTCATCTAAAGGAACACACTGTCCTAGATGGATCTGGGGATGCTTTCAAATTAGCTGCACCAGTAGAATGCAAGGGCATTGTTGGTAGTGATGACAGGTGAGGCGATTGTTCAATTGGGTTTTCATCTTTATGAGTTCTCTTCTATCACTTTGTGGCCTTTTCTTTTTGTCATCTCTGTTGCCTTTGTTTGTTGTAGCATGCTCAGGCTTGACAGTTAAGATGATGTCTAGCATCAGTCTGAGAACTGCCTTATTTGGCCGCTGATCCTTTTGTAGTCGTGCCCTCGTTTCGCTAAAACATGAAAATCTAAGAAATAAATCAGCATAAGCATTATTGTATGCTTCTATATATTTAATAAACTTTCAGCATCAAACTGCTGTTGGTGTGGAGTAGGGTAGTATCACTTTATTTACATCCATAGAATATTTAAATCTTTTTTTATGCCATCCTTCACCATTATCACTTTATTTACATCCATAGAATATTTAAATCTTTTTTAATGCCATCCTTCACCATGTTATTATGGTGTTCTTTTTATTTCTTTTATGCAGGCATTATTTACTGGACTTGATGAGAGTAACTCCACGTGATGCGAACCATACCGGACCTGGCTCACGGTTTTGCATATTGAGACCAGAATTAATCACTGCCTTTTGTCAGGTATGTTCATGTGGACAAAATTTTTTAATCTTGGGCTTATTTCCTCATGCTCTTCTTCTTTTTTTTAATGGAGAAGGCTGAAGCTGTGGCAAGATTGAAGAGTAGACCTACATCTGAGGGAGGGGCTCAAGTGGCTGCAGATTCTACAGAAGTTGCTGGTGCTGATGAGCAAGTTAAACCTGAGGAAGCTGCAGCTTCCATCAACAATCAAGTGAGCATGTCAACCTTTTCACTTCTGGTTCCATGCTCAAGCTAGCTTAAATTGCACTCTATGAGGTTCATGTGATTGAAATGTGTGCATGTGGAGGGAAATCTGGAGGGTTCCTGTGCAATTGAAATGTTTGTTTTTATTATTGTCATAAGTGCTGCAACATGGTACAGTTGTGCCTGAGTGTGGACATTCTCCTATTATGTGGGAAGCAACACATAGTTACAGTAATATGTTCAATTAGTAACATATGGTTTCAGATTTCTTTGAAGGGAAAGTGTAATTGCATTTTATTGCAATATGTATATGAACACAACTTCCTCTCAAGTGTGTAAGCAATAATTTAAATCATGTGGCCCTTTGCATTGGTCTTCAGGAGATTGCTAAAGAAGGGAAAGCTGACACTGTAGAAGAGTGTGCTGCTACTCATGCTGGAAGCCCTGAACCTTGTGAAGAAATACTTTTTAACCCTAATGTTTTTACGGAGTTCAAGTTGTCTGGGAATCTGGAGGTGAACATCTAACCTTTTGGTTTTCTTATTGTAAATCCCATTTAAGTATCCATTTGAATTTGCTTGATTTCTGAGTAGTGACCAAAACCTTGGTTACCAATCATGGCCCAAAAGTTGTTGTGGTAGGTACACAGTAGGACCAAATAGCTAGGAGTTCTTAGTTCTTTTTTCATTACCATTTATCAGGAGATTGCAGCAGATGAAGAAAATGTGAAGAAAGTTAGTTCGTATCTTGCAAATACCGTACTTCCAAAGTTCATCCAAGATCTTTGCTCACTTGAAGTCTCACCCATGGATGGACAGACTCTGACCGAAGCACTACATGCTCATGGAATTAATGTTCGCTACATGGGAAAGGTAAGCTTATACGTTTATTTGATGCTCTCAAACAATTTAGGCACTCTAATTCTGACTCATAAAATTATTTTGTTTAAGTGACAAGTTTTGTAGCTCAACTTAAACTTGATCAATTAATTGGTGATGGCAGAAGTCACTCTTGTCTATTATTTAATCTGTGTTCTATTGCTGGGTAGCATTTGATACAAATCGATGATTTGTTCAGGTAGCCGAAGGAACAAAACACTTACCTCATCTATGGGATCTTTGTTCCAATGAGATTGTTGTCAGGTCTGCAAAGCACATCCTCAAGGTGATTAACTTTGTCTGACCCCCTTGATGCCACATATTGCCTTGGAAATTTCTTACAGTTCTTTCCTCTATTTTTCAAAAGAAGTGCTGGCTAACTTTTGAAGGTCTTCAAATTAATGCAAGGCCTATTACATGTGCATGTTGACTCTGTCATGTCTTGGCAACTAGGCTGCCTTGTTTTCTTAGCTAGGTGTGGTTATCTTAAGTGTTTTTTAGGATAATTTTGCACCAGTTAATCACTAGTTCGTTGATTTCTGAAACTTCTAATAGTGGATTTATTTGGTCAGTCCAGGTCAGGCATCTATCTTCAGGTGATTTATGTTGCATGTGCAAACCTGTCTTGGACAGAAGTAGCTTTGGTTCCATCCTTTTTAATGCATTGTACGCGCATCTATTCATTAATTGGCAATAGATCTTTGATGCAAATTGGGGAACAATGCTACATGCACCGAAGAATATTATTATACATGGGCAAGTACAACCAGCTGTTATTGTGCAATCAGAATAAGAAATTTTGAATTTTCTTATTGGCATTTGCAGTTGATGCTCAATATGAAAAAGTGCGCACACATTCATAGGCACAGATATATTGTCCTTTAACCTTGTATCTGGTACTAAGTGATCCCCTCACCCCTTTTGGTGATGCAGGATCTTCTCAGGGACACAGGTGATAATGATCTAGGGCCAGCAATCTCTCATTTTTTCAACTGTTTCTTTGGAAGCTGTGAAGCTGCTGGCATAAAAGTTTCAGTGAATAGTTCACATTCAAGAGCAACAAAGAAAGTATGTCCACAACAGATTAATAGTCATAATTTTTTTGGTTACTGCCATCATGCATTGTATTTGGTCGTGAGGTGTGATCGTCTACTTCTTGAAGGCCCATGTGCTATGTTTGTGATTCTGACTATACCATTTCCCAGATTTGATAGGTCGAATCTCACAGGGAAAGGAAGAGTTGTGTCTAAAAGTTGAAATATGTTTTAATTGACTGGTTTCTTATGTTGAAACACTTGCAGGAACAAACTGGCAATCAGTCTTCAGGGAAATCCTCTAGGGGCCAAACAAGGTGGAAAGGAGCATCCACAAGAAAGAACCAATCCTCATATATGATTGTTAGCTCAGAAAGTCTATGGTCTGACATTCAGGAACTTGCAAAGCTCAAATATGAGGTATCTTTTACCATTACATGGGGTATATTTACTACAGGAATAATTAGAGATTCTCTGGAATCTGGTTTAGTCCATTTTGTTACATGGCTTTTAATTTGACTTATGAGCAACATTGCTATCATATCACTTGCATGGGGGACCTTATTCTATTTTAAGTGATCCTCTGCACTGTATCATATACTTGATCTAATGTTCTCCTCTGTTTAGTTTGAGTTGCCAGAGGATGCGAGGTCACAGGTGAAGAAAGTCTCAGTTATACGTAACCTTTGCCAAAAGGTCAGTTTTCAGTTCCTATCTCACCCATTTGTATTGACATACTTGTATTGCGTTGGTGGAGTTTGCACAATGATTGATTTTTAGTAGATGTTTTTTCATCCTGTGCTGCCTGGAACATTGCTTTTCTTAGAAGTATATGTTCAGTAGTGGCTATAAATGCCTATGCTTCTTTTTCCCACTACCAATGTGGCCATTGTTTCCTATTATTGTTTTCTTGCCAAAAAAAAAAAAAGGCTTATGATTGTCTTGGGGTTGAAATGTAATTATACTCTAGTGGTTCAGAATAGACTAACGAATTTCTTGTTGGCTCATGGTTGACATTCTAAATAGTAACAACTTGTTTTTTTTTTTTTTTTATGTGGCTCCCTTAATAGGTGGGCATTACCATTGCAGCTCGCAAATATGATCTCAATGCTACAGTGCCTTTCCAAATGTCAGATATCTTGAATATCCAACCTGTGGTGAAGCATTCAGTTCCTCTATGTTCAGAAGCTAAGGATCTTGTGGAAACAGGAAAAGTTCAATTGGCTGAGGTATGCCCTGGACATGGTTGCCTTCATTAGTGGTCATGCATGATTGCACTGTGTTGATCCATCAAGAATTAAATGTTGTGACTGGGATAATGTTTCTTCCAGAACAATTGTAGTTTTCAGCTTCAAATTTTATTTTTGTTAAAATCTATATTTAAGTATGGTTTAGGATGGAATTCATTATGCTTCATATTTTTGTTTAAGACAGTATTAGGAACATTGGAATATCATTCATGGGTAGCACTATTTTCAAGTAGAATAGTCTTGCATGTGGCAAGTTGCGAGTCTATCAGACGATCCGTCTTTGTGGAATGCAAAAACATGTCAAGAGTATAGCTATGTGTTTCTTGAAGTATGTTATATGGTTGTTAAGTATTGTCACTCTTTTGCTTCAGGGGATGCTTAGTGAAGCCTACACATTATTTTCTGAGGCATTTTCCATTCTTCAACAGGTATGTCGTTCTTTCTTCATTTGGTTAGGTAGTCTCTGAGATGCATAGCTTGACCATTTTATATTGTGTTTTAGGTGACTGGTCCGATGCATCGGGAGGTTGCCAACTGTTGTCGGTAGGCATCTTAACTCAATAAACAAACAATGCTTGGTTTCTGTTTTCTAGGCTCTTGTTGAAGACATGTAAAATTATGCTTAAAAAATTTGTATCCTAATTATAAATTGAAACTGCAAGGTCATCTACCATAATCAGACCAACTTCAACTGATTTTTTTTTTTTTTTTGGGTTATGCAGTGATTCACAGTTTATTCATTTGCACTTGACCTAAAATTTTCAGGTACCTGGCCATGGTTTTGTATCATGCTGGTGATATGGCTGGAGCAATCATTCAACAGCATAAGGAGTTGATCATAAATGAACGTTGCCTGGGATTAGACCACCCCGACACTGCCCACAGGCACCATTTCCTTTTCATTTTTTCCTTGATATTAAGTTCATTTGTCGTGGTGGTTTTATTTTGCTATGCACTGAAAATTGTCTTACATGTTTGCAGTCTTAATTTCTTTGAAAATTGAGATATGTTTGTTTCAATTGCTGCATTAAAAAGTTGGCAACCTGTATAAAATTTGTTAGGTTGAATTGCTGGCTCACTGTGCTTTTGCAATTATGCAGTTATGGAAATATGGCTCTCTTTTACCATGGACTAAACCAAACGGAACTCGCATTGCGGCACATGTCCCGTGCACTGCTTTTACTGAGTTTGTCATCTGGCCCAAATCACCCTGATGTGGCTGCAACTTTCATAAATGTTGCAATGATGTACCAGGACATTGGAAAGATGAACACAGCTCTTCGCTATCTGCAAGAGGCCTTGAAAAAGAATGAGAGGCTTTTAGGAGAGGAGCATATTCAAACTGCAGTATGCTACCATGCTCTTGCAATCGCATTTAACTGTATGGGTGCATTCAAGCTATCACACCAGGCATGTTTTTGTATGACATTTCTTTAGTATTAATTTGCTCTCCTATAAATAAAGTAAATGTGAATGAATTAGCTTTTACTTGTCCACAGCATGAGAAGAAAACGTATGACATACTTGTCAAACAACTTGGTGAGGAGGACTCAAGGACACGAGACTCCCAAAACTGGATGAAGACATTTAAGATGCGAGAACTGCAGGTTGATGCATAGTGTTACTAAAATATTATTTTACTTTTCTGTTTCTCTTAGGTTCTCTGAATTTGTAGTATTTTTTATTTACAGATGAATGCACAGAAGCAGAAAGGTCAGGCATTGAATGCAGCTTCTGCTCAAAAGGCGATAGATATATTGAAGGTAAGTGTTAATGAGACGATTTATTGATATTTTAGATGATGGATATGGCCAGTTTATCATTCTGTCTTGTGAAAATGGTTCTCCATAACAATGCAGGACATAAAGCATGCCCAAGTAGTTGTGGTGAAAAACCTTGTGCATTCTGTCACCTTTTTTTTTTGTTTTTCTGGATACAATTTTCTTCCAGCTTTGTGAAGTCCTTTTTTGCATTCAACTGTCTATATTGAAGATCAGAATTTCTGACATTGATTTATTTGGCAGGCCAATCCTGACCTGCTGCATGCATTCCAAGCTGCTGCTGTTGCTGGAGGATCTGGATCCGGGAGTTCCAGTGGTTCAATCAACAAATCCCTTAATGCAGCAATAATCGGTGAAACTCTTCCGCGGGGGAGGGGAGTAGATGAACGAGCTGCTCGTGCAGCAGCAGAAGTTAGGAAGAGAGCAGCTGCTAGGGGGCTCTTGATTCGCCCACATGGTGTTCCTGTCCAAGCTTTGCCTCCACTCACTCAGCTCCTCAACGTCATTAATTCAGGGGCGACTCCAGATACAGTCACCAACGAGGAAGCAGGTGGAGTGAAGGAAGCTAATGGGCAATCTTCTAATGGCCCAGTAGATACGCAGAAAGACCAACCATCAGGGCAACTTCAGGCTCCTGTTGGATTGGGTAAAGGCTTGACATCATTAGAAGCCAAGAAACAGAAAGCAAAAGCGAAAGTTGCAGCTTGAAGTTTTGAGATTGGATTGATTGTTAGCAAGGATTAAACCTTTTGCAAGTGATTGTATATCTTGCCATTTGTGAGGGAGGCAGCATTTCGTAATCAATTTCAGGGAGCAGCCATCCACTACTCTTAACAAACGGGAGTACTGAGGTGTGTCAAAGAAACCATCTTTATTCGGTTTGTCCAATAATCAGGCTCGTAGATATAATTGAGTGAGCATGCATGGGTATCATAAGGTGCAAAATAGATGATACGTAACATGTTCTTATGTAGGCACGCTATATAAATTGATGAGTTTCCAGCCAGCTAGTTTTGTAATGGTTTTCGTAGGCATTTTTGTTTTGTTTAAGTTCTTGAATTCTCCCTTTTTTGTTTCCTGATATTTTAAATTTGTGTTGTTTTCAAGGGTGGCGAGCACTTGGCACCTTTTTTCTCTAAGGGAGAAGGGATTGTTACTGATCTCCCATGTCAATGAAGATATTAAAATCTTTGTTTTAGTAGCCTTTTAATGGAAATTTACACTCCATTGCTGTTGCAGCAATCAAATATTGAAGGAATGTTCGCTGGTTCGATGCTGGAATAGCTATAACTAATCAGTTTTTCATACTGAACTGAAGGCCGAATAATTTTTTTTTTCAGTTTGCTTGTACGATGTTGTAGGTCAATTAAAATATATAAAATTAAAAGTAAGATAAAATTTCATCTAATTTCATAATTTGTAATCAAAAAGTTATATTTAATTTATTTTTCTGTATGTTTTTCATAAATTTTGTAATTAAAAAAATATGATTTTTATTGATTAAATTTGATCTTTTTAGTTTGTTTTTTCTTGTGAAAAGTTCCATCAAATTAATTTTTTATTTTTTTATATATAATTTGATTTGTTAAAAAATATGATTTATTTTTCTTTACGTAAAGATTTTCAAATAAGTTTTTTTTTTCAATAAATAATCAATTAAATTTATTTGTTTATTTTTATATAATTAAAATATATCAAAATTAATTTTATAGTTGTTTTTATTACAATATACTATCTTCAATATATTCTTCATATTGTTTTTTAAAAAATATTTTTCAAACTCTGATCAATATATATATATATAAAGCAAGCTAATTGATTTTATTACAAATTAATTATGCATTTACATAAATAATACTAACTATTTACTATTATTTTTTTGAAGATTATAAAATTTTTTCATGAATTTTGTAGTTAAAAACACTTTTTCTTTAAAAAATAAAACTTATGTTTTATTAGTTTATTTTTATATAATTAAATTCTATCAAAATCAATTTTTTTGTTGTTTTTATTGCAGTATACTATCTTTAATATATTCCTTTTACAGAGGAAAAGCCATATAGATAATACGTAACCTCAGGTGCCCACACCTTTAGAAAACGGGCAGCTGATAATAAAGCATTTTCAAAACAGGAAGAAATAGCATTCGTTTTGTCAGGACCATACGAGTGACCCTACGAGTTTCTATCACAGACAAGCAAATGAGAAGAAGAATGCACTCAAGTCTCAACTTCAAAAACTCAACAATGTTTACCATGTAAACTATAAATCAGCAAAAGTTTCCACAAGCATGACGTCACTTTGATCGAAGCGGAATGCATAGGTGCCACCACCCACGTAACAATCATCGTAGTAATTCATCAGGAAAAAAAGAAAAAAATCACCGAGTACAAAGTTTAATTATATACAGAACTAAGTTATTCAAATGTAAGGCGATCACTTTGTCTCAAATGAGGTATCATGCGCTGGCTAATTTGTTGGGGAAAAATGTAATATTCCTTCCATAATAAAAAGAGGCCAGATACATCTCAACATTTCTCCTACAAAACTTCTGAAACAGGTCGGTTATTACTAAGGACCTTTACCCTATTCTTTATCCTCCTCTTCTGCTGAATACTCTGCTAAACAATAAAATGGGATGATCACCACAAGAAAAATATCGCCCTGGTCTCACCCAGATGCTCCAGCAGCTTGTTTGCCATATTCACCTTGCTCTTCTTTGGCAAACTCCTCAATCAATTCGCGCTGTCTTGGGGTCAAAGTCCTGTAGCAAAATATATTTCTCTAAAGGCATTGTCTATCACATGAGAAACTATCCAGCCAAATAGATGGCTATAGTAATAATACATTGTGTTTTTCCATAAGCGCCTTTTGTTGATTATGTGCAAAAACACAATGACATAGGATCATCACCAGAAAATATCTATTGTTGAAGAACATAACATCTGTACATGTCATTCATCCATCTCTGGTAGTAGTAGACAGTGCAGCAAATAGATACAAAAGTTAAGCATTGTGAAATAAAGAAAAGAAAACTCACGATGGAATGCTGACATTGAAGTGCACAAACTGATCACCAAATGAGTAAGAGCCCCGTCCTTTAATCCCTGTCAGAGAAAACCAAGAAATTCTAACTTCAGTTCAGGAAAAGGCAGAGCAGCAGAGACCTGCCAAAGAATAAAACTCACACAGCAACAACCACTCCTATGAAGGAATAAAAAAATACCCTGAGAAACACAACAAAAATGCCGAGGCTTTTCTAAATTTATCATCATTGAATCCATGTTTAACAAAAATTTCTGGCAGATACTTGAAAAAGAGATGAAATAAGGGAAAAAAGGCAAGTTTTAAAATTTTAAGGTCTAAAATATCCAAAAAGTAAGTGCAAGAAGCCTAACAAAAGGAATTCAGCCAGATACCTATCTTTAAAAGAAAGCTCAAAGATAATTCATTTCACAAAATTCTAATTACCCCTTCTCATATTGAATTCCAAAATTAGCTAAAATCTCTATATCTCAGGATTATGGCTTCAAATGGTAGTGATTAACTACAAGATCACAGATCATATCTTGCAAAGCAAAAGGAGGAAGAAACAAACACACACACACACATATGTATGTATGTATGGATGGATGAGTACCAGACCTGTGCCATCAACTACAAAAGGAATGCATAAAAATTGAAAACCACATGCTTAAAGGAACGATAACCAGAAGACCTTGAGCAGACATATAGCACAGAAAGCTATCTAAGGTAGGAGTAAGGAGAATAAGAATCGGCATTCGTCTCACCTTTATTCTTCAGAACCACCTTTTGACCAGGTTGGGTGCCAGGGCGGACCTGAAAATATAAAACAGGTTAAGGTGAACAATAACTTGATTTATTTTTTAGTATAATCAAATCATTCAAAAAGATTCCAACAAACCTTAAGTACAACATCTCCCGTGAGAGTTGGAACCTGGATGGTTCCCCCAAAATTGCCTGCAAAAGAGCAATTTGATTGAATTTTTGCATTAGGTATAGGTACTAAATGGATTTTAAGTTATAGACTTATGACTTGGGTCTAAAACAAAAAAGACTGCAATATTTATATGATTCTACAAGACCATTTGAACAGAGTACCATACTTAACAAGTAGATATACAAGTAAAGCATAACCCATAACTTAAAGCCAACAATGGAATTTGTAAATGAGAACCTTGAAATGCACTGAATCACATCGGAAACAGGAAAGAATTCTGTCATTGGAATCTTAGTATTTTTCTAGGACCATGAAAGACAAGATTTTACCTGAGTAATGCCCAAAACAGCATCAACATGAATGTTAGAGCCTTCTCTGCGGAAAACAGGGTCTTCCCGGACCTGTGGGGGAGGAGGAAAAGCACAATGACTTAAATAACAAAATGGAATGGCTGCAATAGGACCAGAGGTAGTTGACAGGCATCACATGGGAATAGAGTCAAAGCACATGAGAAGTATACAGGCAGAGAGAGAAAAGAATGAAAGGGATGAAAGTAAACCACCTAAAAGCTAAAATTTCAAAGAACCAGGAAAATAATCAGAGTGGAAAAAGATAGCTACATAAAAAATATTCCTTAAAATGCGCACTTTCTACTTATCCCATGGGGCTTCACTATTTCAAATGTTGTCATTACCCTGCATAAAATTCAGCAGAGAGGCTAGGGTGGATATAACCTCCATGTCACACTACTCTTCCATTTCCTGATTCCCACATCCAGCTTGCTAGGCAATCAATGACCATTGCATAAACATTTAAAACCAAAATAAACAAAATTTATCCTAGAGCTTGCCAGCAAGAAGGCAACTTGAAAACTAAATGCTACATAGTCTGCTTGTTCCGCTATGAGAATGCAGTAAGAGTGACATCCATACATGCAAATCAAAAGGAAAAAAAATAAAAAATCATAAAAAACATGCCATGTTAAATAATGCTGCAAGGAAATGGCCTTGACCTATTTCTCCATAACAAATTAGAAGATGACTTGATATCAAATTACTGATTATTAACATATTTTTATCTTCATCCATACTGCATCCTAAAATATCACACTAGCAAGCAAAGAAATAATGAACACAGCATGCAAATATAGCAGCATAACAATATTAAATAAGGAGTAAGTTGAATTACCTTGATTGTAACAAAGAGATCACCAGGTTGATTGTTCTCTGGGTCTGCTCCGCCACTTCTAGGGATCTTCATAGTCTCATTGTCGTCCACTCCTGCAGATATCAAGAAACTCAAAGTCGATCACCAAATCCAGTAAAAGGTCCCACATGGGAAAATGGGAACCGTACATATAGAACATTTTCATGAATGTTTCCAGCTATGAGAAGTTGATTTCACTTTATGATGTTACTATATCTCATCACAATACACTTGATGATGTCACTATATCTCATTCCAGTACATATCTAGATGTAAAAATTGACTGGACAGTAATTATTTGTTTTAATACAGGGAAAGCAGTGGCCGAGCAGCTAATTTTATCCCCATTTATACATTGAAACAAGTATTTTCTCTCTATTTTCACCAGTAGCATGTTCAATACCAAAAACTAAGTTTGGTACAAGAAAACCACATCCCCATCCCTCTTTCTTTACATATTCAATTCAATTACAGAGACCTTCTTCTGTCCAAGATTCCAGATTCAATTCTAGACGATAAGAACCATTTTGACAACCAAAGAAAAGAAATAAGCAAATCTAATCTGGTTCCATTCAATTCTCACAGAAAGTCTGTTCAAATTTGGTTCAGTTTTTTTCTGGAAATGTACAAATCAGTTTTGTTCTAAAAAAATCCACTCCAAAACAACCCATCCATCAGAATACCAAATAGAATGTCTATATGCAAGATCAAAGAAGGTTTGATATAAGCACCTGCATTATCAAACAATTCTGCAGGGAAGCTAGTGTACTGTAGAAATTCTCAAAGGTTACTGGAGCTCCTAATTTAGTCTTATTTTTTCCCTTTTTGACAGAGGAAATCAGACATTTTCATACTTTAATTTATAAATGGTGTTGTGGTATTAGTGGAGTTCATTTTTCAAAGATTATACAAGGGCACTACCTCATTGCTATCATTCTTCAGGGTTCTGCCATCCCACAAATAGAAGATACCTAGATGAAATTTTTGACACTAATCTAGCTTTTGATTCTGATTTCTTTAACTTTATGGTTCATTCTAGCACCCAAGAACTCAGGCTTGAATGAGAAATTGAATTTCTCTCTGGTTTATTTAGCTTCTAACTGCTTTGGATACTGTAAGAAACAGATCTAGAAAAGCATTCAAAGAAACAAGCACATGTCCTCAGATTCATATGAAATGCCTAATGGGAAAAACAACAAAATGAACTATGATGTGCCACTGCAAGACCATGTTGCATGGAGCATGTAAGAGCGACCAAAGACAGAAAATAAGGTCACACTATCGTACAAGACCAGAGATTTAACAAGATGCTTCAAGATCTACAAACAAACCTGTTGGAATGTTCAATGAAATTGTCTTTGATCCTCTCACTACTTTGTTTCCATGGCAAGACCTGCAAAAACTCTGGCACCAAGAGTCGTAAAGCAAATGCATTAATATTGGATGACAAAATCAAGGGACTTTCATCCATTATATAATCAAATTTTCGAAGAATCATTTAATAAATCGAATTAATACACTATCTGCTATAGAACTTCCAGGCTAGCTGTGGTTCACGTAGAAGACTACAGCTAAACAACAAACCCCTTCTAAAATGTCTCCAAATTTCAACTAAGTTGTAATTTCCTCAAATTTTCTTATCAAAAAATACTGTTTCCTAAACTTTTTGAAGAAATTTGTTTCCACGGTTAATCAAATCTGCCAGATTTCAGTATTCAGAAGCCAAAATTAATGCAATTATGTACAACAGTTTAAAATAAAAATTTATACACTAGTGCCAATTTAAAAAGTAATACCTTATTGGGTTGCTTCATGAAGAAAAAGCAGGTTTTAATGGTTCTCATAATTTTGCTTATAAAAAAATAAATATTTCCTAAAATTATTTAAAGAAGACTAGCAAAACCCAAATGAAAACAGATGTTGAGTCCCATACCGAAACAGATTGCCCAGTTCCACCACATTGATCACATGTCTTCTGAAAACTGAAAAATCCTTTTTGCATAGATATCTGCAAATGTGGGAAACATGATATGTTGTTAATCAGGGAAAACACCCAGTATTTCCAGAATAGGTAACACCATCACACAACTTCTGCAAGTAAAACTAACCACGCCTCTGCCCTTGCAGCGTTTACACATTTGAGGTTTCACTCCAGGAGGAACACCTTCTCCACCTGAGAAAACGCCGGGGGGGGGGGGGGGGGGGAGGGGATAAGACTCAGCCACACTCTTAGGAAAATTACAACGAGAGCTACAGTTATGAACTAACAAATCCTACAAAAAGGAAAACTGAAGTCGTGCTGTTTGTAAATGCTACCAAGTGAAGAAAATAAACAAACCACAAGTTTCACAAGGCACATCAGTCTGAAATGTGACAGTTTTGGTGCATCCTTGAACAGCTTCCATGAATGAAAGTTCAATGGAAACCTACGCATGATAGTTTCAAAAAGAAAACAAAAGTCAAAATTTACTCTAAGCCAAAAAGAGAGCACCAGTGAACATGAAAGTAAAATATAAGAACCTTAACATCTTGGCCAGCAACATTCTGTCTAAATATATTGCCGAATATCTGATCTCCATCAACACAAGTGTGGCGTCAGGCACATAAAGACAACGTGTTAAATTTCATCAACTATTAAACATCCATTTCATGGAAATTTTATAAGAAATTGCACACTAAATAAGGTCATATACGGCAAAGAAGCAAGAAGAGTTTAATTGCACTGCTGGCTTAGTTGTTCTGGAGGCATAACAATGACAGCCTCACTCATTTAAGCCAACAATTTCAACTCCAAGGCTGCCCTATTTAATTTAAGCTTCAGATATGAGAGGAATTAAACCATAAGATAACTGAAACAATTGAAGAGAAACGATTTAGTTTGACAGAACCAAAACAAAGAAAAAGGAGCGAGAGAATAATTACATCTTCCATTCTGAAGAAGTCCCCAAATGGACTCTCGAATCCTGGTCCACCAGGCTGATAATTTTCTTGGTTTTCAAATGCATCATGGCCTAGCTATAAGTTTGCAAATATAATGAAAGTCAGTATAGATATTAACAGATGAGGGTCGTTAAATTATGTATAATAAAAGGAAGACTTGCAAGGAAGAGAATTCAGCATATGCTATGGAGAGAGTGCCTTCAAAAAGGGAAAAAAGAAAGGGGGAGAGGGGGGTAAATAGCGAGAATGTAGCATATTTATACATGCAACGATTGATGTTCTTTTTCTGTTAAAACATGTTCATACCCTAACAGGATCTTACATTCTTTTAGTGAATGGAATGCAGGCTAAGATGAATAATAAAATGTGAAGACATGGTGAGAATACTTGTATGTTGTGTAGAATAAAAAGAGAAGCATGCAAGAGAATCTTTTAACATACACCACTGAGAGGGGCTGGTTTCAATTAGACAGAGTGAGAAGAATGACCTTTTCATATGTTTGGGTTCCAGTGCATGGAAACTTCAATCCTTTTCTTTTTTTTTTTTTTTCTGAAAAAGTAACTATTTTTAATCACAGCCTATGTGTTGGGAGCCAAATAACCTATGTGCCCAGTAAAATTCCCTATTCTTCCCAGATTATGCCCAATTGTTAAGCTTGAGCAGATGCAATTTTCCCCCTACAAGAATGAGATCGTTGGTTGTTTTTGTGGTCAGAAGTTAGCAATTACCATTTTTCCACACAACTTTTTGTCGGCTGGGTGAGACGCATAAGGCTTGACATGTTCTCGAAATTACAAACAGAATTGCTGTCGCAAGTTGACATGGTGAGGGACACTAATACCCAAATCCTGGATCATTCTAACAACAATGACCTGTCCACTACAAAGCAGAACCTCATTTCAACCACGATATAGCTTCTGGATTGTGCTAATTAGTTGCCCTGCCAAATTTTTCATTTTTATTTCACCACCTGACCTTATCCTAAACATCACTCCAGCCCTCTCACCTCAACTACCAGAGGCACCCACTCACACCTCCATCCTAACCCCCACCCAAAAAAACAAAAACCTGCCAGGTTAAGATGCTCATTCCAACTATATGGATTTTTTTTTTTTTAACTTTCATTCTTATCTACCATCCCAACTCTAAAGACATAGCTAAAGTGAAACTAACTGTTAGATACACTGATGACAGAATGGATTGCTGCATTCATCACCAGACTATGTATGTAAACAACTAAATATGCCATCTTACTTTATTGGTAAGTTATAGTTTCCGAAGTAGGCATTTCAAAATATTTATGCACGTAATCCCCTATGAGCTACAAATCCTCTTTCATTTATATTGTATGTAAACCCTCTTGTCTCATAAGAGCTCATACTAACCATGTTTCCAATCATTCATTGATATTGTATGTTGTATGTTACTTGGTTATGAACTACAGAGGTATTCATTTTCCACTTATTCAAAAAAATAAACACAGTTAAAAATAAAAATGAAACCTGATCATATTGTTCTCGCTTTTGATCATCTTTCAAAACCTGCAACAGAACAAACAAAATTTATTCATTCAGTGTTTTATGTAACTTGGTTAAGGAAGGGACAAAATTCTGGTCTGCAAAATTTACCTCATAGGCCTTTGAAACTTCTTGAAACTTCTTTTCAGCTTCAGGGTCTTCTTTGTTTGTATCAGGATGGAGTTTCTTTGCCAGCTGCAGAATGGCGCTAAAGTGAAATCAGAAGACAAGATATACAAAACTTAAAAAAAGAAAAAGTTGCCAAATAAAAGTTGTATTCCTGCAATCTTATTGCAGGACAAAGGAAAAACATAAAAACATGAATTGCACAGACTAACACCCAAATTAAAAAAAAAAAAATGGATAAATAAATAAAGTGAGAGTTGCATTATATTTTGTGCTAAAATATGCAAGACTAAGACAAGTGATGAAAAGAAAACTTACCCCGTAATAAGCTTTCTTTATATCAGATGCACTAGCATTCTTGCTAACACCAAGTACATCATAAAAATCTTTCGTCATAGGAGCTGGGCCAAGAAAAAAAAAGATTTAAAACATACATTGTTAGCTACACAAAACGCCCGGAAATATTTTAGAATACAACACTAGCAAGTAGTAACATCAGAAATGTTGCACCAATTCCGGTGTCAACAAAAATAACTTGTACCAAAAAAAATACAGTCAGGGTAAATTTAAAAAGCAAAATACTAAAACCAGAAAACACGTGAAATACCAGAGCCATGAATTGATCTCGCAGCACCAAGTTTTGCATTTAAAGCTCCCAATAGCAACCAATTTTTCTGGTTAACTGCAAATTTCAAAACACGCAAATCAGTCTAAAACACAAACAATAACCCCCCTCCCCACACACACACACACAAAAAAAAAATAAATAAAATAAATAAATAAATAAAAGTTGCGAAGAAAATTAACAGATTAGGAAAAAAACATGCACAATTCGGATTCTTTTAAGCTTAAATCACCACAAGTTTATCCCTTCCCAATCCCATGTTGCTGAAACAACTACAAAATCCAAAATTTTAGTCTTTAACAGAGATTCTAAAAATAACACATAAAATCAAAACAAAAGAGAAACAAATAAAACAAGTGCAAGTTACCATTTTTAGGGGTGTAATTGCCGAAGAACCTAGAAGAATTACAAACCCTGGTAGTAGTACTCAATCTCCTATAGCTCCCATCTAATGCACTCTTGTATAACTGCAATTAAAACAAACTTACACAAATTAAAAATGTAAATTAAAGCAATTCATAAAGAAATGCAAATAAATAGTAAAAAACATACGGAATTAGCAGAATCTTCGAGGACGGTGAAGGAGAGAGGACGGCGAGCCAACCAACCAACAAGCTTGACGCCATGAGAACGAACCATTTGGTGGGTTCTTTACAAGGGTGGTTTCAAAAGTTTTGATCTTTCTAACAATTTAAGTGAATTAGGGAATTATTAGAAAGTTCGGTTCTTTTTCGGTGTTGGGGGGTTGGGGGCTTAAACCCTACAAAAGCCCTAATTTTTTTATTGGAAGGTTCTAGGAGTTAAAGAGAGATAGATAAGAGAGACAAGTAGTTGTTTTTGTTGGGGTTTTTAAAAAAGGAATGAAGAAAAACAGGAAAGGGGAGGAAAGGAGAACGGGGGCCAATCTTGTTGGAGACGGACACCTCTTTTCTGGTCCATTTGGTCTCTTTAGTCTTCGCCTTATTATATTTTAGTCCCTTTTTTCTATTTCTTCTAATATTATCGTCGTATTCTGTGTTTTGTAAACAGTTGCTCTTTTCGTCATTGACTCATAAAAGAAAAGGCGTTTAAACTTCCACTAAGTGCAACAGATGATGCCACGTGACCTTAATCTTTAAATGACGTATGGCGCTTAAGGATGGGATTTAAAGCCGTCAATCATCGAAGGGTGATATTTGGACAAATAAAAGTAAAGGGTTAAAAGCTTCAATGACGTCCCTCTATTCTTGGTTCTATGCTTCTTTGCCCCTTCTATTTTTTATTTGTCTTGATGTCTTTTATCGATTTTCAAATTCGATATTGGATCAATCCTTGTTTAACCAAAAGCCATGATTTGCCACTCAATCAACTAATAACCTAACTAAGATGCTTACACGTGTTTAAACTTATTTTTATTTTTATTTCTTTTATTATTTTTCTTATTCATCTTTCTCCTTTTTCAACACTAATATCAATAATAGTATGATCTAATTTCGATGATCAGATATTATTTTTGAGATCTAATTTTATGTGTGTCTATATATATAAGTAAAGTTAGATGCAAGAAAAATTGTATTTATTTTTCTCATCGTTATATTGATTATAATTGATGGTTGTGTGATACAGACAAAACAATCATCTTTTGTATTTAAACATTACAAAAAATCTCTTATTTGGATGGAGCCATTATAGCACCAAAGCAACGAATTTTTATTTCACAAATGCCAAAGCTAATGTTATTTTTATTTGATTTATTAGATTCTTATATATTTTACTTTCCAACTTGTGAGATAATTAAAAACCAATCAAGAAAACTCCCAAAACACAATTTTTGCTTCCATTTTTAGTACATCAAATTATGTTGATCTAAGTATTTTTTTTCAAAAAAAAACTTTTAATCCATCATAGGCTAATAATCTCTTTTCACGTTCCATTAATAGATGATTCCGTTTCAATGTATCCGTTTACAAGTCACGAATTTGGCTCCCAATCCTAGTGATTTTAATATTGATTTCAAAAAAGGGAGCAATGGTTTGAGACAGAGATAGAAACAATAGGTGAATTGCATATTTTGAAAAGAGATTTAAAGTTTATTGTGTAATTGATAATTGAACTTACGATAACGTAAGCAAGAAAAGAAAAAAGTGAAACATAATTTAAAAAGAAAAAAAGGATTTTGGCAGGAGTCAACATCTTAAGTAAGTTATCGATTGATTTACTAGTAACCATGACTTTCGGTGAAACAAAGATCCAATCAAGACAAAATTAAAAGTAAATGGAGGATGATACGATAAATAAAAGCAGGAGACGAAAAACGGTACACAGTTAAAAGTAGAGGCACCGATAGAAGCTTTTAACAAAAAGTAAAGAGACTAAACAAAGAAAAATTGAGAGCAGAGAGATTTAATGCACCATCAAATTTTGTAAGTGTTGCTAATGCTAGGACCAACAAGTGTGTGGATGCTGTCTGTACTTACGTTTCTCGCGTCACCTGTGTAGTGCCATGCATTGCTTGGCTCAGAATTGCAATTGAATTTTTCTCCCTTCATCTTCTTTTTATCTAAATTAGAATTTCTTTTTAACATTTTATTTTATCTATATCATGCAAGAAAATTAAATTCAAAAGCCATTGTATTTTTTTCAATAATAAAAATGTCTTAAAATCAATTTTTACATATTTTGAGACTATTTTTTTGTTTTAAACATGACTAGAAGATATTTTATCAGTTTTCGAATAGTTTAAAAATAAATTATTAAGATTAAGAAAATATATCTATTTTTCTTTAGATTATTATTCAAGAAAATTAAATTCAAAAACGTTTGTATTTCACACAATAGACCGTCTTTCCTTCTTAAACTCAGCTGATTTATTGAGAACCAAATGATGACTTTTTACCCAATATACAGTAGTGAATGATTTATTATTATAAAATCAACCAAATTATTTAAAAGCAAGAAAAATCAAGTCTTGATGAGAAAGCAAATTTAAATTGGCTAAAGAGAGGGGTTATCAGAGTATAATAACAGAAAATCCAGAAGAGATTTTTGGGTAATCCATCTCATAGCCCCTCAAGTTTCTACAATTAGGTAAATCAACCCTTGTACTTCCAATTTCGATACGTCAACGCTTGTAATTCCAATTTATGGTCATATATAGTCCTTTCATCCTCTTAGACCTGCATGTTTGGAAACAAGTGATGGACATGCCATATGGATGGACTACATGTGACTACTGATTGAAAGTATGAGGGTTTCCATAACTGAAATTAAATTACAGGGGTTGGTTTAACCAATCTCTAAAACTTGAGTGACAAGAGAATGAATTTACCCTAGCAATATTACGCATAGATTGCGGTACTCAATCAAAAGAACGTATCCATGTCCCTGTTAATGAAGGGTACTAGAATATTCCCTCTCTGTGTGCAAAACGTTAGCTTAAAATACCAAGAATTGATTTTTTAAAGGAAACGATGATAGCTGGAAATTATAGAATGGATTAAATCTAAAAAACAAAAAAACAAAACATATTCTATGATTTTTCTTTATTTGCTCTCAACTGAAAGTGCAATTATCCAGTAATTCAGGATAGCAATCATGATGATCTTAGAGCAATTGTTTATTTCAGGTCAAGAGACATCATACATGAATGCAGCTCTAGGCCCTCTATTCTATCTTGATGTGGAATGTCAAAATTTTTGAAAAAGTTTTGGTAATTAAAACAATGCCCTGAAGCTTTACTAGTCCATTGGAGCATCTAAAGATTCTCCCCAACAAAACCATTTCCCTCTTCTCCAGACAGGATTTTGTTATATATGTTGGGCTAAGCAAAACAGTAGGAAACTCGATTCAAATCCAGTAATAGGGTTTTGCAGAGCTCCTAGTCTTAGATAGATAACCTCCTCGTTTATGTTTATTTATTTCATTTTTTATACCCTCCATTTTTATTTTTGTTTCTTAGACGAGATTGATAGTTTTTGCAGGTGAGTGATATGTTATGCCTTTCTTTTTTACCAGGGCTGAACTTGTGTTTCGTATAGGACTTTAGAATGGAACTGAGCTGGCTAGCAGATGACGTTTCAGCAATTTAAACATATAGAGCTGACTAAACAAAGGGATAGACAGCAATAATAAACAAGGTTTAAAGCAAGAGAAAGAAAAAAGCATAGGAAAGGCATCTTTCACCAAGGCCACACTCACCTGAGCTTTAATTAGGTTTTACTTTTGCTTTCTTTCAGCTCCAACAATGACATTTAACTCAATTTATTTTTCTGCCTTTAGTTTTCTTCACATAGGTGTTGCTGACCACCGAAGAAAGGCATGTTCATAATTACAGAGGATTAAGCAAATTACTCTTTAATCAACGACCAACATCCCATTGGTGGTCTGTAGGGCCTTCTGCAATGTTTTCAGCTGGAAGCATGGGAACTGTTCCTAGAGAAACTGGCACTGGTCAATAAGGATTACTCCAGGCTTGAGACACGTTAGCTTCTCTAGGTGAAAGAAGTGGTGAATCAGATCAATGTGGTAACAGCAGAAGATAATTCTTTACCTGTTTACGAATCTTAAGATCCACATTTGCCAAATGTTAAGATGAACTTCAAGATAAAATCATGCATTGAGTGAGGTACTGGGCTGATTCCTTTCTTGACAAAGATGTCAAACTTTTTAAGTGTCAAAAAGTAAAGGAAAACAAGAGAAGATTAGACTGCTAACATGCAGTAATTCATCCTATTATAATCTAACACTGTTCTTTGTTAGCTTATTAAAGCTTCAACTACAAATTTCTTCGAGGGAAGGAAAGATCTGCAAGAAGCATCTGGATACCAGAAACAAAATAAGGAATTTCCATTTTACTTTTTTCTTCAAATTCTTAATAACATTCAGGACAACAGTACTATATAATATTATACAATATTTTGGGGAGATAAACGCTTATTATTACTACATTCACGAACTAAAAAATGGCCTATATTCCCTTCCCTACTTTAAATAAAGTGTATTCTTTCCCTCCATTTTGCTCTTCTTGGTCACCCTAGTAATTTCTACAGAATTCAAAGGCAGCTTCTCCATCAAAGCATTCCTTTCTTCAGCAAATAATCCAAAGCTACTAGAGAGTGAGTGAGAAAGAACCTTAAAACAATTATTCTTTCCATTTATACTGTAACTTGGTGATTAGAACTTCTTTGCTTCCACTTTGAGTTTCATATTTCTTGTAGGGAGCCACTTCCTTTTAGCTTCCGAGACCAGCAAAGTAACCAAGAAAAGAGCATGAAGCTAGTAGTAGAAGTAGTAGATGCTCATGATCTTATGCCCAAAGACGGCGAAGGGTCAGCTAGTCCATTTGTAGAAGTTGATTTCCAAAACCAACTAAGCAAAACCAAAACCATTCCAAAGAACCTCAACCCTGTTTGGAACCAGAAACTTCTCTTTGATCTAGACGAAACCAAAAACCGCCATCACCAATCCATCGAGGTCTCCATTTACAACGAGAGGAGACCAATTCCTGGCCGAAACTTTCTTGGTAGAACTAGAATTCCTTGTTCAAATGTTGTCAAGAAAGGTGACGAAGTTTATGAAACTTTCCAATTAGAAAAGAAGTGGTTTTTCTCATCTGTCAAAGGTGAAATTGGCCTTAGAATCTACACCTCGCAAGAATCTGAAACAAAAGCTCCTCGTCTTCCCTCTCCACCACAACCTCCACCATCTAATACACCACAACCACCAGAAACCTCTGCTTCTAGTTCTCCCCTCCCCACTATTACTCATATTGCAGAAAATACCGACCTTGATTGCAAAACTCTATCTGCTCTTCCTAAAGCAGAGATTCTTCATATCTCTAAAGCTACTACAGAACAACCTGAGGAAAAAAATTCTGCAATTGCTGAAACCAGTGGTGGTATACCTGCAAAAGAGCCAAAGAAGAGCAATAAAGAGCCTGTCAAAGTAAGAGCTGCCGCCACTCAACTCGTACACCAACACCAAGTCCTGAAGCAACCCAGCCTACCAGTGGAGAAACTACCAATACCAAACGGTGCCCCTTACACAATGCATACTGCAAATCCACCAGCCCATTCTAGTGATCCAGATGACTTCGACTTGAAGGACACCAACCCCCAGTTAGGGGAACGGTGGCCAAGCGGTGGAGTATATGGAGGAAGAGGATGGATGAATGTCGAGAGATATGCAAGCACTTTTGACCTTGTCGAGCAGATGTCCTATCTATATGTTCGAGTCATGAAAGCCAAAGATCTTCCTCCGAGCTCCATCACTGCAAGCTGCGATCCTTATGTGGAGGTAAAACTTGGGAACTACAAGGGCAGGACAAGGCACTTCGAGAGGAAAATGAACCCAGAGTGGAACCAGGTCTTTGCTTTCTCAAAAGAGCGAATACAGTCATCAGTGCTTGAAGTTTTTGTCAAAGACAAAGAAATGGTGGGGAGAGATGATTATCTTGGAAGGGTAGTTTTCGATTTGAACGAAGTTCCAACTAGAGTTCCACCAGACAGTCCACTGGCTCCTCAATGGTATAGACTGGAGGACCGACGAGGAGAAGGGAAGTTGAGGGGACAGATTATGCTTGCGGTTTGGATGGGAACGCAGGCAGATGAAGCCTTCTCAGATGCATGGCACTCTGATGCTGCCTCAGTATATGGAGAGGGTGCATTCAACATCCGCTCAAAAGTCTATGTATCACCAAAATTGTGGTACCTAAGAGTGAATGTGATTGAAGCTCAGGACGTGGTGCCAAATGACAGAAGCCGCCTCCCAGAAGTATTTGTAAAAGTTCAAGTTGGGAATCAAGTTCTCAGGACAAAGATTCATCCAACTAGAACAGCTAACCCACTCTGGAATGAAGATTTGGTGTTCGTAGCAGCTGAGCCTTTTGAGGAGCAGCTCTTCCTTACTGTTGAGGATCGAGTGACCCCTCTAAAAGATGATGTATTGGGGAAAATAAGCCTGCCCCTCAACATTTTTGAGAAGCGACTAGATCACCGGCCTGTTCATTCTCGCTGGTTCAATTTAGAAAAATTTGGTTTTGGTGTCTTGGAGGCTGACAGGAGGAGAGAGCTTCAGTTTTCAAGCCGGATTCACCTAAGAGTTTGCCTTGAAGGTGGATACCATGTACTGGATGAATCGACGATGTACATCAGCGATCAAAGACCAACAGCAAGGCAGCTGTGGAAGCAACCTGTTGGGATATTAGAAGTGGGAATCTTGGGTGCACAAGGTCTTCTTCCAATGAAGATGAGAGATGGCCGAGGGAGTACAGATGCCTATTGTGTGGCCAAGTACGGCCAGAAATGGGTTCGCACAAGAACAATCCTTGACGCTTTCAATCCAAAATGGAATGAGCAGTACACTTGGGAAGTTTACGATCCCTGCACCGTGATAACACTGGGAGTTTTCGACAACTGTCATTTAGGAGGAGGCGAGAAACCAACCGCTGCCAATGCAGCACGAGATTCAAGAATTGGAAAGGTAAGAGTTAGACTTTCAACACTAGAAGCTTATCGGATTTACACGCATTCTTATCCACTTCTTGTTCTGCACCCAACTGGGGTGAAGAAAATGGGTGAGCTCCAACTGGCAGTTAGATTCACCACCCTCTCTCTGGCGAACATGATATATGTCTATGGGCATCCTTTGCTGCCTAAAATGCACTACTGGCATCCATTCACAGTCAACCAGGTAGACAATTTAAGATACCAAGCCATGAATATTGTAGCTGCGAGGCTCGGCAGAGCTGAACCACCTCTGAGAAAAGAGGTGGTGGAGTACATGTTAGATGTGGATTCTCACATGTGGAGTATGAGAAGAAGCAAAGCCAACTTCTTTAGAATCATGTCCCTTATTTCGGGTTTGTTCTCCATGAGCCATTGGTTTGGGGACATTTGCCAATGGAGGAACCCAATCACGTCAGTGTTGGTTCATATCCTCTTTCTGATATTGATTTGGTACCCAGAGTTGATCCTCCCAACTCTCTTTCTCTACATGTTCCTCATTGGATTATGGAACTATAGGTTCCGGCCAAGGCACCCACCTCACATGGACACCAAACTTTCATGGGCAGAAGCAGTGCACCCGGATGAACTTGATGAAGAATTTGACACATTCCCAACTTCTAAATCCCATGACATAGTTCGAATGAGGTATGACAGGCTTAGAGGCGTTGCAGGAAGGATCCAAACGTTAACGGGCGACATAGCAACGCAGGGGGAGAGGTTTCAGTCTCTACTCAGCTGGAGAGATCCAAGAGCAACCAGTCTTTTCATTGTGTTCTGTCTTTGCGCAGCTGTGGTGCTCTATGTGACTCCTTTCAGAGTGGTGGCCCTGGTAACTGGTTTGTATTATTTGCGACATCCTAGGTTTCGAAGCAAGCTCCCATCTGTGCCCAGCAATTTCTTCAAGAGATTGCCAGCTCGGACAGACAGCTTGCTGTGATACTGCTAGTTGTGCTCGAGTTCTGATCTTCCACATGTTTTATATTCTAGTAACTGTTTGCCTAACCCCTTTTTTCTCCAAGTTATAATAAGTGCTCTGTTTAGGAGTCCCGGCGAGCAGTCCCTAGCAATAGGGACTATCGCTGCTCGGGGATGACCTACGAAATGCATCATTACGATTATAAATGCTTTTACAGAAATTCTGCTCTCCGATTCCTATTTCCACCCGCCATGCTAACATAATGAAAAAAACCAGTGGTTTATCACTTATCAGCACAACGCCAAAAGCACCTCACAAACGTGCACAATTAAACAGACAACTCAAATGCCAATCAAACTCTAATCCAAAAACTTCAGCTATAGAACGAGAAAACATGCCACCATCGGGCAGATAAAGGCTGCCAGAATAGCCAGCCTATAGAACTGTCAACATCATGAATAAACAAGTACAAACCTAACGAAGCCGTTTAAGAAATTTAATTCTCCATAACCTCTCATGGATTATAGCAAAGCCCTGTCAAGAATCAACTGATTCACTCAACTCCAACAGACCCAAATCAAAAAATGCTCAACCCTAGGGAAAATTGGATGTTACTAGAACATTAACATAACAGCAAAAACTACCACCGACGCATGGCAAAGGATATAACATTACTCATGATTCGAACTTTAATCTCCAACAGAAAGTAACAAATCCAAAGAACCAAATCACTTGTCAAAAATAAACAAGTCACTTGCGCCAAAAATTGAAAAATGGGAAACAAAAATATCTTGCACAAAACATTGCCTTATAAGAGGTTCATGTAGCTGTCTATTGCCAAAAACACTAGAAGAGTGCATCTGCTAAAGATAAAGTTCAAACAAAATACAATAAAAAGAAGCTCAACAGAAACAATCCTAATTTTTTCCTTTAGAACACAAGCTCATGAGGCTTCATTCCGTCCTTGAGAGAGAACCTTGCTCCCAAGTATGCCTTCAAATCTGGAACACTCTCGAGTGATTTAATAAGTGGTGCATCCACCAACTTCTGGTCATCCTTCTTCTCCTGCGGGAGAGCATTCTCACCCTGGAATGAGAAGATAAAAAGTTCAACATGAGAAAACAAAAATAAATAAAATAGAACAAAATCTAACTAATGACCACTGGAAAACCCACCTCTTTCTCTGCCTCAAAGAAGTTAGCTTCTCCCTTCTTCTTCTTCTTTTCAGCCTTCTTGCCAAAATATTTATCATCGAACTTCTCCACATTAACCCCAGAAATGTCAACCTTGGTCGAAGTTGCAATCACATAAGATTGGTTGACTCTCCTAAGAGGAACACCATTGATCTTAAACGGTCCTGCAGTAAGGGTAAAATAATATCATTATTTTAGACCGGGAAAACATAGAAAACAATTTTCACGATATCACAGCAATACTATGGCAGAAACCTTCCAAACCAAGTAATATTACAAAATGGCAGCCAATATCCAAACTTCAAGTCACAAGCTTTAAGACGATAAAAAACATAATTTCTTTTCTCCAACCAAAACAAGTAATGCGCACGCCCATTACAGCACATACAGGCAGAGCAATTAGCATAAGTTGAGTATTTCACACAGGTTTCAATAAAAGTCAAACCAGATTGCCACCATTCTCATACGACCAACAAAAAAAATAGAAAACAATAAAAGATGATGAACAAATCAGGCTCACCGGTGACAAGAAGCAACCCAGAAGAAAGCTGCTTGAGGAACACAACCCTCTTTCCCTTGAACCTTCCAGCAAGAATAATTAAAACAGTTCCTGGAGTAATACTATCCCTGCACCACCATAAAAAAATACAATATGCAATAAATTACACATTGTCGATCCTACAGAAGCCAAAACAACAAATCTCTACAGTTTCAAAATGAAATACTCGATAGTAAACACGTAACCCAAGACCCCATTACACACAAACTCAAAAAAAGAGCAAAAAACCAAAACAAAATAAAAAAGCAACCAATCAAAAAACTGTAAAAACGAATCCACGAAAAGAGTGATGTAGCTAAAAGTAAATACCTGAGCTTGGTGGGCTTAGCCTTCCGCTTGTTAGGCAGTGGCTTCTTGACATCATCAGCCGGGTAAAACTTAGGTGGTTTCTCGACAGGGGAGGCAGCTTTAGCTTTAGGGGCGTGTTTAGGGAAAACACCGCCGTTTTTGGCCTTAATAGCCCACAAACCTCTCTTGTGGTACATCACTGACCTCGAGTACTTACCGATTCCTCGAATCAGATCTGGGTTTCTGGTTACGTGTGGTGTCTTCCTGGGAGCCATTGATTCCGATTGAGGTTTCTCTCACTCTCTCTCTCTCTCTCTCTCTCTCTCTCTCTCTCTCTCTCTTTGTCTCTCTGAAAAAATGGCCACAAAACCTAGCAGTGAGGATTTAGAGGGAATATATATGCGGCGTTTTATATAGGGATAGAAATGGGAGTGTCAGTGAGAAGAGGGGAAAAACCTAGAAACCCTAATTCCTGTTGTTGGGCGTTGGGCTTGGGTTCGGGTTGAGTGATTGAGGTTGGTTTCTGGCTTTGCGTGAGCCTGTGCTCTTACTGATGCTTGGGCTTGAAATTATTTGTACGAGAGATTGTGTTTTATTTTGAAATTTTAACCTTTTTTTATATATATAAATGAAATTTTAACATGCTATTCCATTATTATTATTATTATAATTATTTCATAGGAAAAGTTAAATCTTATAGATGAAGAAATGAAACCAATACATTACAGATGTATTATCTTCGAACCATCAACACCATCTTTTTTTCTTTCGATTTGAACAATATCATAAAAATTATAATTATAATAAAAATAAAAATAAAATTGTTTTATTTTACTTTTATATTAGATTAGTTTTCTGTTTGTTGTTGGAAAACCTTATTAAGAATTTTAGTAGTGATGTTATTAGGAATTGTATCAAATAGATTTGCAGTGTCGGACATTGATAAGATTTTTAAATTGACATATTATTATTATTATTATTGTGTATGCCTTTCAATTTACTTTGCCAGGTGTGAGTTTTATTTATTATTGTTATTATTATTGTGATGGTACCGTGGAAGACAATGTTTTCAATGTTCTTTTTTATAGTGAGCGGCTAGTTGAAATTAATATGAGAGATTTCGTGTACTAATATTTATTTATTTATTAATGTTTAATTTTTATTATTTATTTTTAAATGTTAATTCAGCATGGAAGATATATATTTTTTAATGTTTGTGAATTTTTTCTCTCTTCTTTTCATATTTAGTCATAATATTATTTTCCCCTTTCATTTATTATTTATTTATCAAATTTTACACTGAGATAAAAAAAAATCGCCATATATATATTTTTTGTTTTTCTGTATTTTTTCTAAAGTTTCATATATCTTTTTTATCTAGACATAAAAACCTGCACAGAAATCCTCAAAACTTTATCAATGTTTTAATTTCTTTTATCATCGAGTTTTTCTTTTTTTTTTCCTCCAAGTTTTATTTTTTTCAGTTATTCTTGGGCATTAAAACCTACACAAAATTCTAAAAAAAATTATCAAGGTTTTTTTTTGTTTGTTTTGCTTTTTATATACATAGGTGGTACAAAGGATCCGTGTGTTTTTTTTCATGGAAGATTTATATTAATATCAATAAATTTATTTTTTTATTCTTACCGTCTCTATCTCTACAGCATAAGATTAGATTAAACTATTACTATTATGATTTAACAAAATTTCAACAACTCAAAAAAACTATTTGGAATAACATAACAAAGAGATATAACTAATTTCGCACTAAAACAAATAATGCATCAAAATAAATTTGATAGGATAGAACCAAAAAGTAAAAAATACAAAAAACATAAATCTTCCTTTTTCTGTTGCCGGTGGAGGATTACTCCTACTTCTCCTTCTTCAAACTTCATATATTTCATAGAGAAATCTTTGACCAAAAATAGAAAAAGATCTATTTTGCATCATATTCAAGGGACTCATTGGTTTGAGCTAAAGAATTAATGTCACTCAACCATTATCAAACTTATTGCAGTCTTTTTTCTTAAATAAATTATCGTTATCATGTTTTAAATTAAAAAAAAAAAACATAATTTCTTGTGTTTTTTGAAGACAAACAACACCGTTGCAATTATATCCATAGACGCATTTTATCACACACCTACATGCATGTCTACTTGCTTGCATTGACATTTTACTAAAAAAAATGTTATTTATAAATAATTTTGTGAAAATGTTTGAGTAGTTAAAAATAAAATGATCAATCGAAAGTATTACGGAAGTCGATGATTTTTTATAGTATATAATTATTATTTACACTATGAAATTCTTTATGTTCTTTTTATCACCAAAAAGGCTCAATTTTCAGTGATCCATCAATTCATTTATTGTATACAATTAAATTGTGGAGATTTTTATAATGAAAAATAAAAATAAATGATAGGTGGATTCATTTAAAATTCAAGAGAAGGCTGTCAGGAAAAAAAAAAAAAAAACTTTAAATTAAAAAAATAAAAATAAAATTCACGGGGCAAGATGGTAAACTGACATCGAACTAACAGGATATCGAAATGCTATCCTTCACTTCCACTTTGTGCTACAAAACCATTCCATTCCCTCCGCTTTCTACAGAGAAAAATATCCCATAAAAATGGCATCAATCTCATCTCTAATAACGCCACTACCCACATTCACAAAGCTCACACTTTCATCAAACCAGTCGAAACCCACTTTCCAAATCCTCAAACCATCAACCCCCTTTAACCATTTCCCTAAACTCACACATCTACATATAGTTCCAAACCCCAAAGCCCCCGAAAGGCTCTTTGCAGTATCTGAAGAAACAGCACCAGCTGCTGCAGCAGATCCTTCCTCAGAGGCTGCCAGGAGGCTTTATGTTGGAAACATTCCAAGGACTCTGACGAATGAAGAGCTTACAAAGATTGTTGAAGAACATGGTGCTGTTGAAAAAGCTGAGGTAATATATGGACTAATGGTTTCTTAATTGTTTTTCTTTTCCCCTCAAAGCATGGATATTGGATGGATAGAGAGTTATATGGAGCTGCATTAGCATGAAACGAGTGTTGCATTTGTATTTATTTTCTCGATGGCAATTTTCTTGATTCATAGTGGTTAAATTTGGGGAAGGGACATAAATAGAATAATTCCTAAATCTTCCTTTCCGCTTTTGTTTAGTATTGAAACTTGATGTGGTATGGGAAAATTTTTGAAAGGATTTCAGCTAAGCATGAAAAAAGAATGTTGATTTTTTCCAGAACTGATCTAATTAACTATAGTTTATATTATTCTCTAGCACGTGGGTTGATGATTTTGCCTTGTTATTTGCCGAGGCTGTTAGTTCAATCAAACTGTGATTTCTTTCTAATGGGTTTTCTGAGCTTGATTTTATATGTGGAAAAGTCAGAAATGTGATAATTTTCAACAAACAGTATCATTCTTTTTATCTTCCTTCTTTTCAGACAAAAGAAAGTATGCTGAGATTAATCCAAAATATTTGGAGAGTATCAGAATAATGTCCTAAATCGGTTATCTGTGTACGAAATCATAAAGTGGGCATGAGAGTCATTCTTTGGAGCATTTGACAGAACAATTTCTGATCAAGAAGTTGCTCTCTTTTTAGTTTTTTTTTTCCTCAGAGGTCACTGAACCTTATCCAGTATGAATTCACAATTGATGAATGCATTATCCACCAAATCTTGGGAGAGAACCATTGGTGTTGAATATTTCTATACCAATTATGGATGGGTTTCGAACTTGATTTCAAATTACCAATCATTCATCTCCTCCAATCATTCTTTCAGTTTTTTACATCAAGCAACCTTCCCTCACTTATTTCTTCTATCAAACAATCTGCTACTACCTTCTCAGGTCGATCCAGCCTCTGCTAGTACCTTGCAAAGACGAGTTAATTTTTCCTAATAGTACGCCACTGGACATTTTTATCTGTTGTATCCATGTATGAAAAATAGCTCGATGGTAATAACTAGAACGTCAATGGTAATTTAAACTGTCCCATCTAAACTTAACCTATCAGAAGAAAAGTGGGGAGGGAAGATGCAATGGTGCATGTCTGCACCTATATGCTTGCTTGTGAGCATAACTTCATTGTAGGTTGTACATGTCAATAGCTAATCTTTCTATTTAGGTCAGTTGAAACTCTGCACTTCTCTTCTACCATCCAGAATCCTCTTTTTTGACTTCATACATAATTCTAGCACTCCCTTTAAGAGAGTTATATTTCCTAGAATTCCTATTCTCAAGACAAATTTATTTTATTGTTTTCTTTGTAGGTTATGTATGATAAGTACTCAGGCAGGAGTCGCCGATTTGCATTTGTCACGATGAAAACTGTTGAGGATGCAAATGCTGCTGTTGAGAAACTGAATGGCACTGTAAGCATTGCTTATTCTCTATCTTATTGGAAGTTCAAGAAGACACTTTCCCACTGTTGATGCCACTTGTTTCTACAGATGACTTCACAATGATTGAATAATTCTTTATGTTTGCTTTCCGTTGCAGGAAATTGGAGGCCGTGAAATCAAAGTAAACATCACGGAGAAGCCTTTGCAAACGTTGAATCTGTCTTCTCTCCAATCAGATGAATCTCAATTTGTTGACAGCCCTTATAAGGTTTACGTGGGAAATCTTGCCAAGACAGTAACAACAGATACACTCAAGAAATATTTTTCTGAGAAGGCTAAGGTTCTTAGTGCAAAGGTTTCCCGAGTTCCAGGGACCTCAAAATCTAGTGGGTTTGGGTTTGTAACATTCTCTTCTGAGGAGGATGTAGAAGTTGCCATATCATCTCTTAATAATTCTGTAAGTTACTTGCAGCCTTGCTTTATTTAACTGAGTGATTAAGTTTCTAAAGTACTGAGATTCCATGCACATACATGCAGTTTGTTCATCTTAGGCATACATTTGTCATGCATTCTTGTTTACGAGTGTTCATTTATTATTAAGGCAGTATCCCGCATACTTCGTACTTGCAGATGACTAGCCAATTATCAGGACCTTTTAGAACAATTAACCCTTGCTGTCTACTGTTATTATTATTTGATAGTTTTATTTATCTGATAATTGTTGGTCACTGCAGTTGTTGGAAGGGCAATCAATTCGTGTGAACAAGGCGTAGTATACCTTCTGCATTTTTGGATTTGAGGAGTCGAATACTGTATTTTGAAAATCCCTTGCGAATTAGTGTTTAGTCATATATTCTTCTGATAGTCATTTATGATTATGCTGTATGTTCTGTAGTTGTTGCAAGTAGAATACTGTAATTTGAAAACCTCTTGCAAATTAGCGTTTAGTCATATATTCTTCTGATAGTAATTTATGATTCTGCTGGATGTTCTACGATTGTTTTAACCTAGAAGTTCGCTGATGGAGATAATAGCATGGAACTTTTAAAAAATTTATGTGCTAGCCTATATGCGTCAGAGGGTGGGCCTGGATTGGTGCTTCTATTTATGAATGTTGCTTCAAAAGGATTAAACGGGTCCAGCTTGGCTAAGCCAACTGGAAAGCTGTGTTTTCTGGGCTTGGTGGGTTGCCCTTGGATTGAGTTTCAGACTTTAAGACTTCGAGTAGGTTCCGAGGTTCGCCTATGCTGTTCCTTCTCCAGCCAACGTTATCAGTGTTAACCATGTTGAAAGCAAAATCAAGTCAACTTGTCTATAATCTTATGCAATATCGAACCTGGTTTCTAAATTGACAGAAGTGATGGATATAATAGGTTTGCTGTATACTTCAAAATTGCAGTGACAAATTCTTCACTCGACTAGAATCAGTTCACCAGTAGAGCCATTTTTTAAGAAATATCAATTATAGCAAAATGAGAAAAATTATTTAAGAAGCACAAAATGACAATTTTATAGGAAGTTATTCAAACCCAAGAGGCTGATCAGATGTTTAAGAAATTTGTTTTTTTTTTTTTTTTGGGTTAATTTTTTTAATTCAAATTTTAAGATCGGTATTAAGAAGAATTTATTATTATTATTTTTAAATATATATCAAATCAACGAGACAGATGCAATCTTAAAACTGCTATTAACATTTTTTATCAGTTCTGCTGTTTTGGTCGACATTAAAATACACAAGTAACAGTTTTTTCATTCATTATCCCTACAAAGAAAACATTTTATATTTTGTAGAAAATGAATAACTATTATTTCTTTTGAGAGTACAACAAATCACTATCAATATAAGCTTGAACATTTTTTCATGTTATCAAGCTCAAAAAGAAAAAAATATGTTCACAAAGACAGGGTAAATCACCAATGAGAGGCAAGAAATTACTGTTTGTCAATGCAAAAGGAATAAAATTTTTGTCTTGATATAGGATAGGTGGTCAGTCCTAGGACACAGATAAGACGGTTAGGAATTCATTTCTTGATTTTTTAAATTTGAATTTTGAGACTAACTCCAGAAGGTCGCCCAAAAGACCAAAAAAAATAGAGAGACTTGCAGACACTTACATGCTGTAAAAACATGAACAAAACGAAGGCCGCAACTTAACTTCTACCAGAGCAGAGGTAGAAATGAGACTGCGTAGATAAGAGTTCCACATAAAAACGGCCCACAAAAAATAGGGTGTATCACAAGGCAAAACCGCTCGAAACGGCAACTCTCATTCCCTCACCTCCTCTCAATGTTGTAGCAATTTCTGTTATATCTGGCTGCTAAAAGAAATCATAAATGGACGGTATGGCTTTAAAATTCCCTTCTTTCAAATCCCTAAACCCTAACAACTCCATCATTCGAAATCCCGCTCTTTTCTGCTTCGGCCTCCGCAAATTCTCTTCTTCTTCTTCACTTCCTGTATCGGCAACAGCCACTACTCTCACAGAAAGCGACCCGGCTTCTAACTCCGTTTCACTTGGTCACTTAACCCGACCCGACTTCCCTATCCTCCACCAGGTAACTTATAATTATTTTCTGCTTCTTGTTTATCGAAAACGATTGGTAATTCTGATTTTATTATTACTATTATTTTTGTTTGCAGGAGATATATAACGGATCAAAACTTGTTTACTTAGACAACGCAGCTACTTCACAGAAACCAAATTCAGTGTTAAAGGCTTTGCAAGATTATTATGAATCTTATAATTCCAATGTTCATCGAGGAATTCATTACTTAAGGTACCCAAAAAAGTTGAAATTTTTTGTGCAAAATGTTGGTGTTTTTATGGTGATTTTAACTGAAAGTGCGTTTTTTTTTTTGGAAAAAATAAATAAATAATAATTTGGGGAATTGTAGTGCAAAGGCAACAGAAAAATATGAACTGGCGAGAGAGAAAGTTGCAGCTTTCATAAATGCAGAAGAATCTAGCGAGATTGTGTTTACCAGAAATGCCACTGAAGCTATTAATTTGGTTGCTTATACTTGGGGATTTGCAAATTTAAAATCTGGAGATGAGGTGGGCGCTTGTTCTTTATGTTATTTACCTTTCTAGCAATTTCCTTTTGTTCCATTTTTTGGGTTCAATTTGTCATCTGCAATTCTAATGAGGCGTCTAATTAAGCACTAATATGGTATTTTTTGTGTATTTTTAGGTTGTATTGACAATTGCAGAACATCATAGTGCTATTGTTCCGTGGCAAATTGTGGCTCAGAAGACTGGAGCTGTTTTGAAGTTCGTTAATTTAAATGAGGATGAAGTTCCGGATGTATTTCAGTTGAAAGAAATGATTTCAAGCAACACAAAACTTGTTGTTGTGCACCATATATCAAATACACTCGGTATGTTTGTCTGCTGTTTTTTCTTTGCATGCTTACAGACCATGTTCGAAATTGTGAGTCATTTTGTTCATGAACAAATAGGAAATGGTTTTGCTAAATTTTAGTGCATGATTTGAAATTCTCTTTTGTCTATTTATTAGTCCAATTTGACCGAGATGTGCGACCTTGCTGGACTTTGAGACCCGTATGGACCATAATGAATGATAGGAATTGTTATTTCTATTAAAATCTTTGAAGGATATTGGTGAGATTTTGCTTAATACAGCAGTCTTTTGGGTAAATACCAAACTGAGGTTTAATACCTCAATGTGATTTTGATTAGCTGTCGATGTGGTATCAAATACTTGTTCAAAATGTCATCTATTTGAATATATAATGGGATTGCTTCTGTTTTTACCCTCCTGCTTGACAACTAGGTAGAGTGTATTTCATATGTCTTATTGGGCTATAAAATTTATAGACCCTCCTTAAACTATCACTTGTTTTGATTGACACCCTATATTTTTTTTTCCGTTTTGACTTTAATATATGAATTATGGGGTGTTTGGATTGGGACGCCCTCTGTTAGGCTTTGGCCAACACTAACGGTGGTACTACCACCAAACAAAATGTCACATCACAGTTCATGCCAATCTTGGATCCAGCAACCGCCAGATTTGGTTGTTTTGAGGTTTGAATGGATCTAAAAACTAAAACCCGATTTTTGTGTTTGATTTGAGTTTGAAAATGGTTTTGGATTCTGGAATGTTGTTTAGGAGGTTGAAAAGATTTTATGGTGGTTTTTTGGGGTGATTTGGTGGCTGGAATGGTGAAGTTCCTGGTTTGAAAAAGGACTGAGGGGTTCCAATCCAAACGTCCTATGGTTTGTGTATTAAAATCGAAACAAAGAAAAAGTGTGTGAATCAAAATGGTAGATGATTCAGGGGGCTCATTAAGTTTTAGCCTGCATTATTGTATAAACTCACCTCTACCTCCCCCTCATCCCCCAGCATTTCAGCTGGCATCTTCCTAGTTCGCTTCTCTCCTTTTTCTCCTCCCTTTTAATAGCATTTTTGAGTTAGCTGTTTGTAATACAATATGGTTTTCATATCATTGTTGTCTATGCCTTTGCATGTCTTTTAACAACTTAAATAATTCACAATATTATATTTACCTTGTGAATCTACACGCTGAAAATCAAAATATGGGAAGAAATAGCTACTGAACATAGCTCATATGCTTTTTTCTGTAGCTTCTTCTCTTCCAATTGAAGACATAGTCCGTTGTGCACATGCTGTTGGGGCAAAAGTTCTTGTAGATGCTTGCCAAAGTGTTCCACACATGGTGGTTGATGTCCGGGGCCTTGATGCTGATTTTCTTGTTGCTTCTTCGCACAAGGTTAGGTTATTGCCTTATACAATGAAATATGAGCTTGAGGCATGTATATGAAGTTAAGAAATAATCATGCTCCAGATGTGTGGGCCTACAGGCATTGGATTTTTATATGGAAAAAGTGACATCTTGTCTACCATGCCTCCATTTTTGGGTAAGTTACTTTTAGAACTTAAGGGTTGTTTACGTCCACTGTCCTGGGAAAAAGAAGTGTGAAATTGCGCATTCAAGCTTGTCTTAACGCCTGGTTTTGCTTTCATAGGTGGTGGAGAAATGATCTCTGATGTCTTTTTGGATCATTCCACATATGCAGAGCCTCCATCAAGGTTGGTTAAGTTGTTTGCTTGGTGATCAATTGTATCCCATAAATCAATGCAAGGGCTAACGGATATCATACGAATTTGCTCCTCTCTTCTCACGTGCTGTCGTTCTTCCTTGAACTTCTGATTAAAATGAAAATTGTATCGAGGCCCTTATTCTCACTTTCTGTTTCCATATTCATGCTTTGGTGTCAAATTCACTCTTTTTCACGGATTAGATTTGAGGCTGGAACACCAGCAATTGGGGAAGCAATTGGATTAGGAGCAGCAATTGATTATTTGCAAGGAATTGGCATGCAAAAGATTCATGAATATGAGGTGAGTTATCGAAACCCAATGTTTATCAATACAAAATATTACCAATATTATTAACCATGTTGATTTTACCAACAGATGCAGAGTTGAGATTAAAATAAGCAATATTAAACAAAAATCATAAAATTCTAGGAAAGTACGGTAAAATAAAATAGAGGCCAGTTTTTTTAATCCATTACATTAATATATATATAAAAAATAATAATAATATTCTTCAAACTAAAAAATTGGTAATATGAATTCTTATATTTTGTCCATTTACCTCTTTTTTTCCCCGCTTTCTTTTCTGACAGATGGAGTTGGCAAATTATTTATATGAAAAGCTCTCTGCTGTTCCTAACGTACGCATCTATGGCCCAAAACCTTCCAAAAGAGTTGATCGTGCTGCCCTCTGTTCTTTCAATGTGAAGAATATTCACCCCACAGATATTGCAACTTTTCTTGACCAACAGGTATGAGAACAAATGAGGTCTTCATTGCTAATACGCCTGTCAAGTTTGCAATCTTAAAGCTGTCAGTATTTCTTTTTCTGTTTGTAATGAGCTGTAGAAGATTCTAAAGGCATAATGCTGTGTAGAATTTGAGAGCTTTCTAGCTGTTAATTGATGAGGTTATAATAGCAACTAACACACTTGCCCTCAGCATGGAGTGGCTATCAGATCAGGTCACCACTGTGCTCAACCTCTTCATCGGTATCTAGGAGTCAATGCAAGTGCACGTGCTAGCCTCCATTTTTACAACACAAAAGAGGATGTTGATTATTTCATCGAGGCACTCAATGACACTGTTAGCTTCTTTGATTCTTTCAAGTAGAGTGGCCTTGCCTTTTAACTTCCTCCCTCAGCCGGTTTTAGATGCTGTATCAAGTCTCCAGAAGATTCCATACGCCATATAATGTAACTTCACAGATGTTCTTTTGGCTTCTTTGAAATATCCCTTTAAAGTGGCTGTAGATCCTTGTTTTTTTTTAATTTCAAACTCCCAACAGAGGCTCTTGTGTGGTTTACTTTGGCAATTATTTTGTTATTTTTACCTCCCAAAAATGGTTTGTTACATTATATTGGGGATGTGTGATAAAATCCTAGAGATAACCTCTCCCGAGTGCCGTGAAAGGTGTGTGAATGATCTAGTTTATAGCTCTATAGGATTTGCCATCTTACTACTTATTTTATACGTTGCTGGCCATATATAATGAATGGCAGTGGTAACCGTGCAGCCTGAAATTGCCAACCTTGCCGGAATTTTAGGTCTGACTTGTATGCCTGTACTAATTGATGTACATCAATTCAGAACTAGTCTATAGCTTTTACTGGGGAACTAGCTAGGGATTACAAATTTCTCATTTTACGAGTGTTTCAATTGCACTTCAAAAGTTTTAATTTGTTTTAATCCGTATCTAACTACTTCGTTACGGAAATCAAATAAGAGTCAATTTTAATTTCATTTTTGAAGTTTATGCAATATCTTAATATCATCTAGAAAATAAGAATAAATAAATTGAAATTAAAAAAAAAACAACAAATCATTAAAAAAAGACATTTTTAGATAAAAACATAAATCATTAAAAAATATATTTTTAGATAAAACATATTTTTGTTATTTTATTAATAATTTTTATTTTTTTTTGTTAGTTTTTACTTTTTAGTGATAGCTGTATGTTTCATAATTTTTAAGAATCAAATTTATACAACTTTCTATTACTCTTCGTAATGGAAACGAGAACTTTAATAAATAAATAAAAAATTATAATGACGGATTAAAATTAAAAAAAATTTATCACGATAAAAATGGGGTATCAAACTATAGTCAGAGTCAAAACTTACATACCGGGATGACAACTTTTTAATGTAAAAAACTGTGACTGCTGGTGACAAAAGCACGTTGTGGAGTCAGAAGCAGTAAGCACGCTCTACACGTGTGCCATATTCTTTAGTGCCGCTTTCAGCTGTTTGGATTTTCAAATCAAACTACCAATATATAAAAAAGCGATCATCATGTACCGTACAACATTATCTGCTGAATTGGGTTGGGGCTACTCCTGTTTGCCAAATTAATAATAAATTTAACATAATTAGTAAAGATATAGTTGCAATAGTTTTCAAAACTAAATTCCTCTTTAAAAGATTTTAAGAACCCTGCCTCTGGCCCATGAAAAGTCTGTGCATTATCTATAGTTTATTAGCTCTCTAAACTTTGTCTTTTTTAGTATATAAATTTGTTAATTTATTTTTGAAAAAATATGCGAAATTGAATTTTGTGGAAAGTAGTTAACTCTACGTAAGTTCAAAGATTAGATTAGATTTGAAAGTTACTTTTCATTCATTCGAAATCCATCCAAGAAGGAGAACATATCAATTTACACATTTTTGGAAGTCTTGACTCCCGAGGTGCGACCGTCTGCCAAATATTCTATGCATTTCCAGTTAATTATAATTTAATCCCTTTAGTTTTCTAAAGTAAATTAATTAGTTTCCATACTATGAGAAATAATTAAATTGTCCCTATGGTTTTATATTAGTTAATAACTCAATTCCGTTGTTCATTTATTTATTTATTTATTTTATTCACAAGAGAGACATAATTCTAAACAAAATAGTTCTTGTTATACATTTTAGGAGTTGCAAGTGCAACTTCATAAATTTTTTTCTGAAAAAAGACTAATAAAATCCAATAGAACATTAAGAAAGTAAGAGATTTTCATCTGTTATTTTTTCATTAATGAAATGAAAAACTATCACAAATTAGTAATTTTTATTCTAAAGATGTTTTTTTTTTTTTATCTTGTTAAATTTATATGATTAAATTTTCTGACATTTTACTGGTATAGTTGTACTATTTGTTGATTTTTGATTGGTTTAACACGATGACTTCTTGGAATGACCTTTTATTGACTTAGAACTGTAACGTTTTATATAAATATCAAAATAATTGGAAAAAAAATGAAAAAAAAAAGAAATGCAATAGATAGGCTGGTGTAGAGTTAAGAGGGGCTGGACCTGGGTCCATCATTAAGTCGTTTAATAAGTCTTTAGCCTCTCTCTCTCTCTCTCTCTCTCTCTCTCTATCTATGTATATATATATATAATGATAAAGTCCCTTAGTTAGGTAAGTTGTATCTATTAATTAAATTAAAAGCTAAAATACATGAAAATATCCTGAATTATTGATCAAATTCTCTTATATTTATAATTTATTTAAAAAATTATTTAATTATTACGAACTGTTTTTTCAATAAATAATAGACATTTTCGATTATTTTTCCAGCATTGACTCCGTGACATGGCGTGAAAATTGACACACGACCAACTAATCATGTAGCCAATTGATTTTTTTCCATTCCAACTCTACCCTTTTTGCTCTCCATCCAGCGCCTCTCTTCGTCATTCTCATCCGGAAATCCTCATCTCCATTTTCTCCGATTAGAGCTTTTATTTCATCAGAGAAATTAAAAACCAACTTCAGTACTACTGTTTTCATCACTTTTTTTTCTTTCTCTGTCCAATACTTTCCCTCCTCCGATTCAAAATGGAAACCAAGATGATATTAATTTTATTTTTAAAAATGCCAATTATTTTGGTCAAAATAAAGCAATAGTGACAACACTCTTTGTAACATAGGAATCAAAATTTATAAATATTCGGGATATGCTAAATATGTTGTTACTGATTTTAAAATCATACATTAAAAAGAAAGCCAATGTTTTTATATCTGAACAAAGACATCGAATATATTAAAAGGATTTGCTTAATAGTTAGTCAGATTGTTTTTTCTTTTTTTCCAACAACAGCAAGAACCGAATAAGTATATCGTGTTAGGTTGTTAGTTGGGAGAATGATTAGCATAAACATGTCTTTGTTTGTGGAGATTTGAAATTCTCGTCTGCTACTCCTGCCTATTGATTTTCACCGGTTTTGTTTCTTTTTCTTCTTTTATAGTCAATTGAAATAGTTGGATGGATTCTTTTATTTTTACTGGCAAGGTTTAACTACCAAAAGCAATTATTACAGGACAAGACGCCACAATGCTTGGGAGAAGCGCGAGAAAGGGTCCTTCTCCTTTTTCCTTTTTACTTTCTTCTCATTAAGCTGTTGTTAATGGGTGACATATGACTGTACCTGTAGTAAAACGAGCTTTGCTACATTTCACTTATGGCACCGTACGAAATCATGCAAAACCGTCTGTTGTTTGGGCATGATAATGTTCAAGATAACACAATGATCAGAGAAACATAGTCGCAACACTTGTAATTTTATCCAATTTTTTAGTCTCTCTATTTGTGTTTGTATGAAGCATCATTTATCCACTATTTGGGCCTGGGTGGTGGATCATAATATCAAATGGTTGGTGACGTGATTTGTGGGGTGCCATTGGTTTAAAGAAGGAATGATGTTAGTAAAAAAGTCTAGCAAAGATTTGTAGAAGAAATTATTGGGCATATGAGAAAGTAGAGCTGGTTAATGTTTTGCTGACATTATTTCCTTTTTCAGTAGCATGATTTTCTTTCATTGGAAGCTTAAAGATTTCTTATACAAGGAAAAGGTTTGGTTTTTTTTTTTTTTTTAGAAGTTTATCGTACATACGAAAAGAAAATTACTTGAAGTTTTAACTTAGAAGATCCTTAATTCATATCTTCAACATGCGTGTGAATTATCATACTTTAATTGTATCCTTATGAGACGTGTTGAAATGAATTAAAGTATAATTCACATCTTGATGACATGCATTCTTAAATCATCATGTTGAGTTTATTGATGTTTTGCTGACATTAATTTTTTTTTCCTGAGTGTAAAATCAATGATTATACTTGATTAGATAATAAATTAGTCCATTTTATATTGAGAAACGAATTAATTAGTTTTTCTAGTTTAAAAACTAATTGTTTAGTTCTTTTTGTTCTTTTTCAATTTATTTTGATTTTATTGTTTTTAAAAAATACAAAAAAAAGTAAAAATATAAAAACATTGATGAGGAAAAAAAGAAATTTTATAAAATAAAAAATATTAAATCAATCATGGTGAACATTAAAATTGAAATAACTAAATAATTAATTTTTAAAATTAAAAAGATTGGTTAATTTATTTCTCGAAACAAAAGGGCCTAATTTATAATTTAATTTGATTATACTTTAATTTAAATTTTAATTTACAACAGTCATGATATTTTCAATTAGTAGTTACTTCTAATCCCTTTCTAGAACTGAGATGTTCCTTGTAAAGAATTTGAAGGCATTATAAGGAGATGAATCTCCATAGAGAATTAACAACTCCATTTTAAATGTCCAAATTAAAAGTCAAAATATAATAATTATCATACTTTCCCTCGCTTTTCTTTACTATTGTTTATCATTTTTCAAATTTACTAAAAACAATAACATTGAAGTATTGAACAATATAAATGCATTTAGGGGTCAAAGCAGAATGACGTTTAAAAGATAAAAACTATTAATACAGTACTTTCCTTAGTTTCTAAAAAAAAATTGTGATTTATTGGTTAATATACGGATTTATCATACATTTGATTTTTATATTTTTTGAATTTTTATTAAGATTTTTTATTTTTTTAGCTTGATTAAAATCTTTTATTTTTAGATATTTGTTTATTTAGACGCTTTGTAATAATTCAATGAACGGTTGGTTCGACGTAACATATTACTATTAGAAATCACCGATCAATGATCGATCGACCGATCGGCACGTGAAATTGGAATTACGAGATTCCAAAAAAACAGTAAATCCATCTGAACTAAAAAAGAAAAAATTAAAAATGATAAAATAATGCATAAAAAAGAAAGAGTAAAAGACCAAAACCCCCCACACCATTATTTTCCAACCCCTTTTTATGTTTTTGCTTCAGAAACATCTCTCTCTCTCTTCACTGCAGTGCTTCTCTACCTAGGACATAAAGCAACACCAGCAAATTACGCTCCTTTTCATCTCAAAATCTCTCTAATCACAATCCCACTTGCCAAGATTTCACCAGTGAAAACATCAAGATTTCACTAGTCGACGAAAATGATGAAATTGGTGGTGCAAAGTATCAAGTCAAGCGAAAGTGGCCTTAGAGATGGTTGGGTGGGCTTGTTGGAATCCAGATTGAAATGGAGAGGTCCATTTTGTGTGACACAAACTGCATGAGAACCACTGTACAACTGGATATAGCAGCAAGTTCTTAAAAACCAAATAAAAATCATGCAGATCCGAGAGCAGTTAGAATTTCAGAATTCTAAAAGGATCAGATGATTTTGAAAACTTTAGTTCCAACCTGGGACATAAGTACAATTCAGTAGACAACACTAGAAAGTAAAAGGCAAAGGTATTCATTTGTATTTGTCATAAAACAAGGTACCCAAAATCATATCTAACAAGCTGAAATCAAAATATCCAAAAGCAATTTGATTTTTCTTCGGCATTGGTCACTCAAATGTTGCTCAAGCAATCTTGTGACTTGGAAGACTTCTCTTTATCAACCTCCCTTTTAGCTCTTTAAGGCTTTTTTTTTTCCTATTTCCTTTTAAATCTTCAGGACTTTATTCACAATCTTTTGCTCCTCCACTAAAAAGGCTCGGATAATCCTACGTAGCAAAAGAAATTAACCATTTTGCCACTTCAAACAAACCAAAAAACAACCACCGTCAAGATACTGTACCTCTCCCTAACAGCACCCCTTGACAAGACACCACTATAGGCACGATTCACAGCCCAGTGGTTCATGGACAATCTAGACCTCTTGTGTTCAACCTCTGCTCTGCGGGTTGGTTGTGAGAGAGTTTACTTGGCTGGATTATGCTTAAGTAGGAGGAGAATTGATCTGGGTTTGTTTTGGTGGCTGGTGGTTTGAGAAAGGGAGAAGTTGAGAGAGAGAAGGGAACTAAAGAGAGAATGGTTGTTGATGATGATAGGGGGTATTGGTCTTTTTCACCCTTTGTTTTTTCTTTTTTTGTATTAATTTATTATTAAAATCAGATTTTAATTATTACTTTTTTTAATTGAGGCATACATACTTTATTTGGAGACATATTTATCCATGTTTTGCTTAGTGATTGATTGTCATTAACACTAATGTATCACATTATATAAATAATTTATAATATAAGATTTGAATCAATAAATTTTAAAAAATAAAAGATTTTAATCAAGTTTAAAAAATAAAAAAATATCAATAAAAAAAATTCAAACAATACATAAGACCAAGATAAAGAGGAGTAGTTTCTTTTTGATAAATTGGGAAAAGGTTGGTAATACCAACAGCAAAACATGTATTCCCAAGCTACTCAGATACCTTATATCAGAAACAATAATAACTGTCAATCTCCTGGATGAATATAAAAATGACAAAAGTTAGAAAAACTGTAAATGGTCAAATCATTTACCTTGTCTCCATTTTTTGTTACCGCAAAGCACACCGAGTTAAAAATGCCGTTAATTGAGGGTTGTATTCGAGCGAGGAGAAGGAAGAATTAATAAAAAATCAATACCAATATGAATTCTCGAAGATTATAAATCGAAAATTTCCCCTATTCACGGAAAATTTATCAGTACAGTCACGCAGGGAATTACATATGTTTTCCAAAGCCCATGCGGCAGTCATTCGCACATGAGAGAAATTAGTAATACTCAGTGGCCATGATTACCCATCGATAATAATATAAATTATATTTTAAGATTTTATTTATTAGTTTAAATTTTTAAGTAAGATGATTCTTTAATATAGTATCAGAATTTAATTAACCTTAAGGTTATTAATTTAAATCTCATCATCCTCAATTTATCACATATTAAATACAAATTAACATAAATCTGTTTAAATTTTAAATCCAAATCTTATAAGATACCAAGACCTGAGGATCATGAGGGTTGACCTCAAAAGCATGGATGAACTTTTCAAGGATCTATGCACTAAATGGTTTAAATTCATAAATTTTGTATCCACAATCTTGCAAGGAACAGAGAATTTACCTATATCATACAACAATATTCCACAATCACACTATACGAAACTTGCAGGGCACAAGAGATTCGATGGCTCCATAAGCAGCTGACCTAAATGAAGCAACCCATGACGCAGCGTATAACAAGTTACAGGCAAAGTTGTAGAGAAAACCTCAAACCTCGAATCCTTATTCAATGATAACTGACAGTAAAAAAAGAAAACGGTAATTTAAATGGTATATCCTAAACACAAAAGGGTGAAATATGAAAAAGAATAAATAGCCAATAAATCTCGAAATATTCAAAACTTAAGTAGAAATATAAAAAAAGAAGAAGGCAAATTCTAATTTTCTACAAAACAACAATCTGAATCTATCCTTCGAGTTTGGATTAATTATTTAAATGTTGACATTATCAATATCAAATAACATGCAATTGTTCTGTATTTATATGTAACGGAAAGTATCGCTCAAAATTATTGAGAAAAAACAAAACAAAACAAATGCATATGTATATAAGAAAAAGGTGTAGAAATTAAAAAAACAAAAAACAAATAGAAATAGTAAAAATTTTTAAAAAATGATGCAATATTGCATTATCTCACCATCTAAATAAATTCTCAAAAGTTTCTCATTTTGAATGCATTTTCATCACTCCTTTTGCTTTGTGACAAGCAACTCAAACATAATATCAATTCCTTCATGTAAAGTTTCATGATGTTCCCAAACTTTTTTGAGTTAACATACAATTGACCAACTTCTCGATTTTGTACTCGGCTTCAAACAATTTGTGAAGACGTGCACAGTCTAGATATAAAACCAAATTTATGGATTTTTTTACATTTATTTTATTCTCAATAATTTCAAATGAGATCTATTTTTTTTTTATTAAGTCAGTATAAAAAGGTCACATGTTAATTGATACTGATTACATTAGTACTTAATAATCTCAATTGACAAAATGCATTCAAATAGAAAAAAAAAATCACAAGTTAATCACTCAAATAAGTAAAATAAAAAGTTATATTCAAATAGAACAAAAATAAAAATTTTGGTTATGTGTTAATTGATACCTGTCACGTTAGTATTTAATAATTTTAAACAATGAAATACGTTTAAATAAAAAAATCACTTAAATAAATACAATAAAAAATAATGCACTTAAATAGAATAAAAATAAAAAATTGAATAATGAAATTACAGTTTTATTTGTCAAAATATCACAACACTAGAGTGTAGCTATCAAAATTTCTTGTCTCTCGCCATCCTCTTTTTGGCCAGAATACAAGTAAACTATCGAAAGCTACAACATTCAATTATATATGTACTGAAAACAACACCATATCAAAACATTATTTTTTCCAAAAGAATAGAACAACAAAAGTAGACAGTATTTAGGAATTAGAGACAAACTTCATCTTTCATTTCTATAAAAACAGATGACTAGCTATTTGCCGAATATACGGGCAGAACCAATCACATTTACATGAAAAAGAGGGAGATAAAAGGAAAAAAAAGGAAAAAAAAACAGAAAAATTAGTCATGAGCTGGGGTTGGCAGCACTATTGCTCACCCGCATGGCTACGTATCTATGGTCCTACCGTAAAGCTCCACATATAAGAAAATGGCCGTTGACAAAGTTGAACAAACAACAACCATTGATCAGAGGCGGCTGTAATCCAACCCGTCCATTCCCTTCTTGAACGCGTCCCTACTTTGTTTTTACTTCTCGCGCGTTTTCCCTACTCTTTCCTCGCATCTACTCAACAAGTGAGACTTGCATTATCTCCCCCACTTTCGTACCATAAATTATAAAGTAAAATAATGACAGAAAGTCAAAGTTTAAGTTTCTCTCTTCGCTCTTGTATAAATCTCTTACTCTTATCTCTTATTACTCGCACCTCAATAATAGAATTCAGATATTTTTGGATTTACTCAGACACAGAAGAACACAGAGGAGATGGCAAATTACGCACATGGAAATGGTGACTTCCCGGCGATTCCGACTCACGGCGGTCAATTCATTCAATACAACATTTTCGGCAATCTTTTTGAAATCACGTCGAAGTATCGACCTCCGATCACTCCGATTGGTCGTGGCGCCTACGGCATCGTCTGGTACTATTAATTAATTTGATTACTTTTGGTATGGTTTTGTTTAGTTTTGATTGAATAATTGAAATTAATAAGGATTTTGTTTGTTTAATTAAGCTCGGTATTGAATTCGGAGACGAACGAGATGGTAGCGGTGAAGAAGATAGCCAACGCTTTTGATAATCATATGGATGCAAAGCGCACCCTTCGTGAGATTAAACTGCTTCGCCATTTGGATCACGAAAACGTGAGTGCCAGAGCTTTCCTTTGAATATTCTGTTTCTACCGTTTTCTGTTTGTTTCCAAAATTTAGCACCTTAGTAGGGGAAAAAAATGATGATGATGAAACTTACCCTTTTATTTATTTATTATTTTTTTCTAGCAACCATAGCTAACTACCCAAGTTGTCCACGTGTGGTCCTACTTTGCCGAATAGCATGATCAGCTTACCTATACATTCATATTTGCTTTAATTGCGAGTCGTCGTTAAATTACTGTAAATTATAGTATATAATTATACAATAAAAAAAAATAATAACAAAAATAAGTAACACGTTACATAGCCTCCTTAAAGCATGGAAAGAAAATCTAATGAGGGAATCTGGTAAGAATTATATAAAAATGCCATGTCGTGTAAATCACGAATCATGTTGGTTGCCTTCTACGTACTCCTAATTTAATCAGTTTGATTATGTCCTACAATTTCTACAACAACATCTCTCTAAGCCAAGGCATGTTGCTGTTTATAACTTGGTAAAGTTGTTTGTGCATCAATTCAAAAGATCGTTTACAATTAGATAACGGGAAAGGTAATTAATCTCAACAAATGAAAATAAATTGCATGATGGATTCTCACTATTCATATCTGTAGCAAAAGTTGAAGGTCTAATTTTATTCACAGCATACTTATATCCTTGCCCGGTTTCTGGATTTGGAATGTAAAATATCTTGTACTAGAATTAGTTTTTGTGAATTCTAACCTTTTGAATGCAAAACAGGTCATTGGTATCAGAGATGTGATTCCTCCACCTCTACGCAGAGAATTTACTGATGTCTACATTGCCACGGAACTTATGGACACTGATCTTCACCAAATTATTCGTTCCAACCAAATTTTGTCAGAGGAGCATTGTCAGGTAATATATTTCAGTTTTTAGTTCTTGTTGCTTCGCAATGTAATTCATTGGTCTAATTTAATTATGAAACTGATCTTTTTTTTGTTCCTTTATGCTGTACAGTACTTCTTGTATCAGCTTCTTCGAGGATTGAAGTATATACACTCTGCTAATGTTATTCATAGAGATCTCAAACCCAGCAATTTACTGCTAAATGCAAATTGTGACTTGAAGATCTGCGATTTTGGTCTAGCTCGGCCAACTTCGGAGAATGAGTTCATGACAGAATATGTTGTCACCAGATGGTATCGTGCACCTGAGATATTGCTCAACTCCTCGGACTATACTGCTGCAATAGATGTGTGGTCTGTAGGTTGCATCTTTATGGAGCTTATGAATAGAAAACCTCTGTTTCCAGGCAAAGATCACGTGCATCAGATGCGCTTATTGACAGAGGTAAGATGAAACTGAAGAAACTATTGCTTGCACGTTTTTAATTAATTTTTATGTAGAATATCTCTCACTGATTTTATATTTAGAAGAGTGGTCAAGACCTTAGAAAACACATCATGACTAATTTTCTTTTCTTTATTTTTTTTGGTTGCTTCATTGAGAAAAGAGTTAACTTCTGCTGCCGTCTAAGTGTAGAAAATAATTACTGCTGCAAATGTGCTGATTGGCAATCATTATTTATGTCATTTACTAACAATCTGGAATGTGATACATGATCAAGGATGTTCATGTTGGTTGGCTTTGCATCTATTTGATTTTATGTTATCACAACCCACACATGTTTCGACAGAATTCCTTAGTTTCTAATGTCAATGTTTCTTCTAGTGAAGCACACATGTGAAAAGAATGTTTAACGTAAATTTATTCTCTGCAGCTTCTTGGCACACCCACCGAATCTGATCTTGGGTTTGTCCGGAATGAGGACGCAAGAAGATACATTCGCCAACTCGAATCACATCCTCGTCGGTCGTTAGCTGAACTTTTTCCACTTGTTCACCCGCTGGCCATTGATCTTGTAGATAAAATGTTGACATTCGATCCCACTAGAAGAATCACCGGTGAGTTTGATATCCTCATTGTGATCCTCTTTCTAATACATAACTGAATAACATTTTAAACAATCTCTCATTGAGATGAATATTTCTCCATATATATTGTTCATGGCAATGGAAGCTCTTTCTATGTTGATCTTATTAATTAATTACAAGTAAAATCCACTTACAAACAACTTAGACATGCTGAACATGTTAAAATTTTTTCATTATTGGGAGTTGCTTCACTTGGTGAACGTTTGACCTCATTTTGCATGTTTAACTAGCCTAGTCTTCCTTGAGCTTGATGATCACAAAGTACATTCTCAGAAAAATTCATGCTCCGCATAGGCGACATTGCATTAGATACGATTTGCATCTGTTTATTTCTAAAAGCAAGATTTGTCTGTATCAGTTGAAGAAGCATTGGCTCATCCATATCTTGCAAGATTGCATGACACAGCAGATGAACCAGTCTGCCTAGAGCCTTTCTCGTTCGATTTTGAGCAACAACCCATTGCAGAAGAGCAAATGAAGGATATGATATATGAGGAGGCTATAGCACTCAATCCAGAATATGCATATTAGAGAAAGTATTTGTCATATATACTTTTTTTATTCATTTATTAATGTTCCATAAGCACTACCTGCGGTTTCAATGTCATTTGACAGAGATCAAGTTTGAACATGACGCAATGGGATCAGGGCCACAGATTAAACAAGACATATCAGCTTTTGATGGTCTTCTGTATCTGAAAATTGATCCTGGGCTTGCCAATTGTTCACCCATCATTTCCACAACCTTTATATGTAATCTTCTTTAGGTCAATCACTTTTGCAGTTGCAGTACTTGTAAACCCCGCAACCTTAATCTGACTCTTTTTTTTTTTTTTGTACTTCCTAGTTTATCTTTTTATTTTTCTCCCCTTAGTAACATGTGTTTATCTGTTTTCTAATTAAAATATATTTTGAATGTAATCCATAATTTATTATTATTATTTTTTAATCTGGTTGAATGTAATGCGCACTATTACGGGAGTTGCTTGATTTTATTTTTTATTTTTTTGACAATATATAGAATTTTAAAAAATATAATTTTTTTTTTAAAGTACTAGAGCATTTAAAAAACAAAACTATTACAAGGGTTGCCCTTCATTTTTATAGTGGTGGCTAATTCAGTTCGTAATAATAATATGATCCCTCTTCTTACCTCGTTAACTAGTAACATTAATTTTCTAACCTAGTAACTGAGTGGCCTGCATAACTTTGCCTATAGCAAAAGGGGGAAAAAAAAGATATAGGGTTTGGCGCAACTTCATGGATGTTTGGCAAGTGAGTTTTACTGTTATATAGCAGAGCTCGACATTACCCCAACCTACGTATTGATTTGTCTAGTATCTGCACTCTTCCATCCTCTCCAGCCACTCACTTTCTATAGAGTCATGGCAATGGTGGCAACTCTTTCCAGCTCCTCTGCCGTAATCGATTCTGTCATTAAACAAGGTAATGGAATTAAGGGTCTGGCAGATAAAGGCCTAGAAACCCTTCATGAGCAATATATCCTACATCCCGAAGAAAGATTTGATAAATCTACAATAATGAGAATAAAGTACAAGGTAGGATCAATGCATTTTAGCACAGTGAAGCCCGTATTTGGCAAGTCAACAGTAATGAGAATATAGTGCAAGGTAGGATCAATTCATCTTAGCACAGAGAATGAAAATCTTCCTTCAATTATCCATCTGATTGGCGTTTAATAAAGACGACTTATCTTGGAATGATAGAGGCCTGATGTCTGGTCTGTCATGACCCGTTTCTCCAAATCTTCAATCATAAAGTGATTGATATTGGGTTAAATACATTTCATTCCCATATATTATATGGAAAATATAGTTAGCATCCCTTGCTCACATATGGTTTACAAGAAAGTTTATACTATTAAATTTTAGAGTAAAATAGTTTATCAGTTAATTTTTTCTATCATATTTATTAATTTTTGTTAGATAACTAACGTTTAACAAATCAAATAACCACACGTATCAACTTAAGGTTAAAAATATATTTTTTTATTAAAATTAGTTTTTTTTTTAATTTTTTAAAAGTTAAAATAATTAATAATTATTATAAAATCATTAAAAATTGAAAAACAATTCTAAAGAATTTTTTCAAATAAAAAATTTAATTTCTAATGAATTTATAATAATAATAATTAAATAATTTTAAAAAATATAAAGAAATTATTTTTTTCCAAATTTTAATGATTTTATAATATTATTAATAAATAATTTTTAAAAAAATATATACATATAAATAATTTTTTAATGATTTTATAATAATTACTAATAAAGAAAATTAAAAAAATCAAATTTTTTATTAAAATAATTAATAATCGTTATAAAATCAATTTAAAATTATTAAGAAATTTTTTTAAAAATAATAATCAAAATTTTTTATTAAAATAATTATTAATTATTTTAATATTTTTTAAAAAAATTTCTTTATCAATAATTATTTTAAATATTAAAATTGAAAAAAAAATTATTTATTAATGATTATTATAAAATAATTAAAATAGAAAAAAATTCCTTACATAATTTTTTAATTTTCTTTAATAATAATTATTATAAAATCATTAAAAAAAGAAAAAAATTTATTATTTTTAAAAAATTGGTTAGAATTTAAAAAAAATAATTTTTTAATAATTATTAATTATCTTAACTTTTAAAAATAAAAAATAATAATTTTAAAAGAAAATTATAATTTTACTTTTGAGTTGATACATGTTGCCACTTGATTGGTCAAACATTAGTTAATTGACGAAAATAGGTCAATTTGATGAAAGAAGTTAATGAAAGGGTTGTTTTACACTAATGTTTAATGGTATAACACTTGTTATGAACTATATATGAGTAGAAAAGCTATAATGATATTTTTGATATAATACAGAATTACAAGATATATTTAACCTGATTGATATTATTTAAAAAGCTTATTCACCATAAATATTTCAAGATAAATAGGATTACTCTTGATAATAAAACTAATTTTCCTATGTTTAAAAAACAAAGTGAAGAAAAAAAACATATATGACAAGAAATGAAATTGTGCATGTCAGCTAACCTATCTCATATGGAAGGAAAAAAAAAAAAAAAAAAAAACCAATAAATGAATAGTGTATAAAATTGAGAATGACCATATACGACAAAACTTAAGTTTTTTTCTAAAGAAACTCAAAATCAATTATTTAATTTATTATTATACAACAGTAGCAAATCAATGGAAATGAATCCAATCTCTACTGATTTCAACGATTTAATTTAATACTGCACAACGACAACAAATCTATGGAATGGAAACCAAGAAATGATTTTTTTTTAGGAATGAGGTTTGAATTTAATTAATGATGATTAAATAAGGATTTACAAATTAGCCTGTAACCAAATGGCAGAAGAAGTAGCAAATAAAAGTTAAATCAAATGCCACTAATGACCACACGACAAAAGCTACAAAACCAACAGCTATGGGACTGCCAAGCATAACAATAAACAGAATCCAACAAGAAGGATAGCTGAAGAGAGAGCAAAGCAGCACATCATGGGAAGCAACTAGTGATTCCATTTTTAGAGGATAAGAGGTATTGTTCTTTGAATTTTAGATGAATTTATAGCAATGTTAGAATATGGTTTCAAGTTTGTCCATAAGGTTACTAATAATTGTGTGAAGTATGTATTTTTGAGAAGCTTCATCGAGAAAATATTTTCAGTAGAGAAGTCGAGGAGAGCTACAAAGCTTTTGATGTTGGTTCATGTTGATTTGTGTGGTCCAATGCAAACAATCTTCTTGAATGAAAGTAAATATTTCATGATACTAGTTGATGATTTTTCACGGATGTCATGGGTCTATTTTGCGAAAGAGAAATCTAAAGCGTTTGAGCACTCCAAGCAATTCAAGATTGCAGCTAAAAAGCAAAATAATTACTCACTTGTGACTTTGTGTACTAATCATGGAGGAGAATTTAGACTTTTTTGCAATGATTTTGGGAATTAAAGACAATTCATAGCAAGTTATATTCGTCCTGGGCAATTCAAGATTGCAGCTAAAAAGAAAAATAATTAAAAGAGAATAATGTTTCACAGTAGCTAAGTCCTGTTTTTTTGCCTTAGTTAATTTTCTTTTGACTTTTTTCATCCTTGTTTTTTGTTTTGCTTTCATTTTAGTCTTTTTTTATTCTCTTTCCTCAAGATCCTGTTAATCAATTGTACAAGTGACAGTGATTGAGTTTTCTAATTTTTTTTTTTGCTTAAAGTCAAGGAAAATGGCTTCTTTGTAAAAGTTATTTATGCATGGTGTGGCTAAGAATTAACCACGTCATCCTTATGGTCTTCCACATATTCTGCACTTTGACATTTGCAATGTTGCCGCAGCTGTGATGGCAACAAAATTACCCAGTTCAAACTTTGGAAGTCACCGATTCCAGGCTTCCAGCCAGCGAAACGAAAATATAAATTACAAATTTTAAGGTGTAGCTACCGAGGTCTCTTCCAAAAAGCAAGATCAAGAGAAATCCAGGTAAGCTAGACAAAAAAATATCATTTCTATTTTCAAGCATTTAATTAACTCAGATGCAGGTGACGTTAAGCTCTAGCTGTCTCTTTTTTGAATTATGGGCTTTGTTTAATGACAAATTACTCCTTCGATCATAGTTAACCTTGTTGCAGTGTGTATGGCTTTCTGGAGATTGTCTATGTTGTGGGTTGACAGCTGTGAGGTCAAACGTTAAATTAATAATTATTGTCTTATCAGATTTTTCATTAAATACATTTTTTTATAATTTATTCTTTTATTTTTAATATAGGGTTATATCTCAATCAAATTCTTTATTTGTTTGTTTGTTATTAATTTCTATTTGGAGTAATGTGCTTCGTTGGGCTTTAAATAGATTTTGGACGGCAATTAGAGATAAGTGTTTCTCATTTAGTTTCTTTTCAATTTCTCATCTCACCCATTCTTCAATATTTAACTCTTTAGTAACAGTGATGGTTCTCAGCTGTGTAATTTATACGAAATATTATATTTTATGTTTTTTTTGTTTTTTTAGTCCACAAGTTTTTTTTTTTTTTTTCTCATGTTAGTGGGGTTTGCTGAGTTACCTACTGTACCTAATTTTTATTTTCTAATTTTTCCTTTTTCTTTTCTGTCTTTTTTTTTCATTTTCAAATAAAAAAATATATATAATCTAAGCATTAAGTTTCTTTCTCTGCCTTTTCATTTGTTTTGCTTATGCAAGTCTTTGGTTCACTCTTTAGAGGTGGGTATTTATATTTTTTTCTTTTTCTTTATTTTTTCTATGTTGCTCTGTATAGGTTGTTTGAATGCTCATGAAAAGTGTGTAAGATGTTGTTTTTATTTTAAATTATTTTTCCTCAAATTTGTTGTTGGCAACATCTTTTTGTGTTTTTCTATCTTTATTTTTTTCTTTTTCTAATTCTCCTCTCATGCTGGTCATCATGATATTAGGTTTTTAAAATGTGTTTTACAAAATCTAGCTGATCCTATTTAATTTAAATCTTTGTTGTTGTAGAATTAGA